AATACATCTAACAATAAGTGAGACCTGTTTAGATTATCAATATTAGAATGAAACGTAATGTATGGTAATCAATATACCATTCAAATTAAGCTTGTCTGTTTTTATAACAATTCAAAGTGACGCTGGCAACTTTAGCATTCTTGGTTCATATTCCAAACGCATACCTTACGATGATGTAGCCTTTTGCTACAATACACTACTAAATAGAATGATCCTGTTTCGAAAATAAACATGGTATCCAACTGGATACCATGTTATGATGGACTTAATAGTATCTCCACTTGTCCCTGCAATCAGAGTAATAACGTCGGAAATGTATCGTGAAAGTTATTTTCTCAGGCGGTTCCAGATCGGTCCGCGCCTCTAGCACTACGCACGAAACCACTTTCGCTGTGCCCCAACATTGCTACTGAACTCTTATACTGTTCAAGTTCGGAGTCACTGGCAAAATGTTTAATCTTGCCTCGAGCGCTGACCGTGTTTGGTCATCGTTATTTCATGTTTAGAGCATTATTACTATCTGTAATCAATCATCTGAATGGACAGGAACTTGTAATCATTTAACCACCATTGCTTAACCTTACGAACACTTAAGCAATGTAGCTCCTCCGCTAACGATTATCCGGTATGATTCGAAACCGACTGACATTCTACACACTTGTTGATATACCTGTGACTTAATCTTTTCACTTAAGCAGAATAAGCAATACGAGTAACTTGATTACTCCCACGCGAACAATAGGAACACCCGCGAGACTGATTGTCTTTAGAATTGATTTGGTTTCACCAGGTTGATATCGAAGCTTGACATAGTAATCAAGCAAGAAATAAACTCTATTCAACAGAACTGTGCAGATGAAACGCTTCACTCGTTATCGCCTTTTTAACGTTTTCGCCAAATTCCAAACTCAATAACAAGAAAGTATCGCCAATCGGCGTTTTAATAGTTGGGATTATCTGTTGCATAAGCGCAATAATTGAATTATGCACTCCACTGCGGATAGGAAGTCATGGAGTCAGCAATACCGTCTTGTTTATAGAACACGTACATGGATGGAATAGTAACATTTTATTTTTATTATAATAATATAATTTTATTTGCTTCAAGAGCATTACATTTATAATTCACAATACGAAGTCCATAGTTACATTCCTCTAAACGTTCTAATCAGGTCAAGCGACAGCTACAAGAGCTTCTAATTCAACAAAAGGTGATTGTTTGATTTATAGAGACATCTCGCAACGGTTATTGGACGTTTTGCATTTCCAATAAGTTTGTCAATTACCATCTGTGTGTTGTAGAGATAATAAAGTAACACCCAAATTGTCAAACTTTTCGCAGGAGTCGTCTAAAGTGATATTATCCTTAAAAATGCTTAAATCTTGTTTTCCAAATAAAAGAAATCTAGGTTGCTCAATCAAACAACAAACATACTCCCTGACACGAAAGAACGAAGCGTGCACGCTGTGTCGTGTGCCCGTGTGTGTTAATGTTTAAAACACTGACTCGTTGTATAATCACAGTGTTATTTAAATCAGTAAATAAGTGCCTAAATGTTATTTATTAATTGAATATATAGTACCTATTATAATTTCAATGTATAAATGTATTCATTCAAATCTTTTATTTCATCCCTACTCAAGCGCGGTTTCACCCGCTCTGCTAGCTCCTGAAGCGTGGTCTTTAGCCTATATATAGCCTTTCGATAAACACATATCCAACACAAAGAGAATTATTTAGATCGGACCAGTAGTTCCAGAGATTAGCGCGTTCAAACAAACACTCTTCAGCTTTGTAACTATAACAGTTTAAGATAAACTGGTACGTCAGCTCAATTCCATTCCTGAACAAATTAACTACCCAAATTACTTGTACGCGGCTCCTTAAAATTATAAAGTCTAAACGCCACTTTCAGCAGATCACAAATAAATTTTAACGTCATAACGCAATTTGTACTCTGCAGAATATCTTCAATAACATTAACATTTCTTAGTTTCATGTAAATGGCTACGTACGAAGTACATTCTTAATAGGTATATTGAACCTATGTACTAAACTTTCATAGAAAGTTTGTGTAGGCGGTTCGTTTAATCCTCAGTAGATAGTCACCTGATTTGTCGAAGGTTTATTAATTAGCAGGTGTAATGGCTATCTAGAGAGTAACTTAGCAAATAAAATGTTACCGACTGCCAACTTGAATGAATTTTAAATTATCCTGATGCTGACACTCTCCTTTTAAGTTTCTAGCTTGTAGAAGTGGTATTAATTCCCGCAATTTAATTCAAGTGAGTTTTACAGCGTGATTGGAACTATAAACCGACGAAATAAAGGCAATGACATGTATTAAAAATCTATCTTCTCTAAGGAATAACATAATATGTTTGTATTCTAATATCCGGAACCACTGCTGGTTCGAATTCTTTTTGTATTAGTTAGTCCGTTTACTGAGAAAGGTCGTAAAACATCATGCCACGATCAATAAGAGCCGAGCAACGGGTGAAACCGCGCAAAAGTAGCTGGTGGAGCTATATGAGGCTGCTTCATTTGTTTGATTAAGAAAAGCACGAAACTCCTTGCGATTGGTACGACCATTTTATGTTACATGTCATAGATGTAAAAAAAACTTAGAACTTATTGTACCTAAAAAGCACGTCTTTATCAGAAAAGAGTCGATTTCAATATTTATTATATATTTTTTTGTTTTAATTTCTAGATTTATTTTAAAGGTTAGAGAGGACATAACATCCAAGACTACCTATTTCGATATTTACGTAATCTTACCTAACGAGTCTGTTATTCTTTATTGGATGACCTCATCATAGATCGAGCACGCATTATGTGTCGTGTGATTTTAACCGATGTCAAACACAATTGGTATTGTATCAATATATTGAAGTACTTGAATATGTTTTAGAAACCTGTCCTTGCCTTATAAAGTAACTCACTCAATCTGTCAAATAGGGATTTCATCGAGTACCGTGTGTAAATTATATTACACTTCTGAATTAAAATATTTGTAGGACCATTAACGATTACGTGGGTTCAGTCAAGGGTACACCTGAATTCTTAAAAAACCACTTGTGACGTAAGTACCATAGCCAAAAGTTACTTTATGAACCTTTTATTCCACGCTGAAATAAGCAAACGTGAATTGTTTTACTACCGTCCGTAATTCGATGTAAACATCTAAAATGTGTAGATACCTACAATATATAATTTAGCTGATGTCAGTTGACGTCACAAAACCAACAAAGGGAGACCGAACTTAATTATCTTAGCCCAACACGACTGATAGAATCTATTTATTATCATTATATTGAGTAGATTACAACAACTTTGCATTCTTGGGCTTGGATTTAAATTACCGGGATAAAGAGATGTATGAATCAACACCACATTAGTCTACGAATATAGGCAACAGTAGAAAGGATGAATATGTATGAACGTAGTAGGTACCTATAACAGAGTAGAACAGTATCTGATGCCCTGAAGGTGACGTCATAACCATCACGACAACGGCAACTTTACAAATTGGAGCAGTTCTAGTTATCATTTTCATATCGTTATCTATCAGGAAGGCTCGTAATCGAAATTACCTTAATGGTTACTGATTGTAGAGGTCTAATGAATAATGATAAAGCCATTTATAAAACTGAACTACTTATTGCATTAAACACTTGTCGCCTGGTAAAAGTTCAGCTTAATACGTAGAGCTGTTCTGCCCAATAAAGAAATTCCACAGTTTGTTTCTTTAGCATTTTACGCTTGTGTAAGTAATTAATTGCTGATCTGTAATGTAATTGAACGATAACATTGACAAATCGCGTGGGTTTTCCTTGACATTTGATACACAAACACATTTAGAATTTAGATTAGAAACATTCAGTAACCCGGAAACTGGAGGTAATGAGCTCAAGTAGACAGAGATCAAGTATCTTTGACAACGTGCAGCTACCAAAAATACTTTTTATCTGTGTACAAATTGTTTAACCTTGTAGTAAAGCACTCGATTCGAATTTGAATAGATATGATTGACAACTGACAATACTCACCCACCCAGAGCGAGTGTGAAAAACGAAAGAACCAATATTACCCTTGTACTAGTTTTCTATTTAAGTGTGAGGAACTAACAAAATAGCGATCGTAATCGAAAACGAAAACTCTCTACGAAAATATGTGATTTACGCCCTCGTTCGACCGACTAGCGAGATCATTTAGTTACATCAACCGATTAATCAATCTCAAGTAACTAATGAACTCATACGTAATAGTACCATAGAAAACGAAACACACTATTGATTGATTACGTTGCAAGTTCACGGTACTATCTCCTATACTGCAATGTCCTTGTGAGTTGTGTGACGAGCCGACTAGAATCGATAAGGAATATTAATCAGCACAAAGACATTAAGAGTGTTTTCCCGTTGTCTTATAAGGGTGGTCTTAGAAGTACACCATAGAAAAAAAACACCAAAAATTTAAATGACTGTATCGTAACCCCAAGATGCCTAAGATAAAAAATAAATTAGTTAGTTGCTACAAAATTTTGTAAAAACGTGAGTACGGAAATCCTATGTTCTTGAGATCTTCAGCTGTTAGTTTTTATAAAAACTTTTTGCCCTCGAACAATACTCGTATCTGCGTCATGCTTGCGGCAACATCCGTTGTCTTAGTTTACGGTTCTCACATATTATTATTTTAATTAGCCAATAACATGTTACTATTTTCTGGGAATTAGCAAACAACGTAGCATGTTCGTTCAGTTATTGTTACAACGTGTAATAGAATGTTTGTAATTTACTGCTAAGAAATGAACGAGTTAAATACTTATTCTTCGTTGGCTATGTTCATATTTTATGTTATAATGTTATCTAATGAAATACTTTTCTCATTCGTTTCCTTCGTTTAGTTTGCCATAAAATGTGATCGAACAATACAGCAGTTAATTTCATAGACTGCAATAGAATACTCAAATGAATTTAGTTTACGTTTGTTACAGGAATAAAGCGATCGCCGATTATTTAGGTAGCAATGGCTACACGGACGCGCTGGAAGCGTTCAAGAAGGAGGCCGACATGTCCGGCGAAATGGATCGCAAGTTCGGCGGCCTCCTCGAGAAAAAATGGACCTCAGTCATAAGGTTGCAGAAAAAAGTAAGCAGAATTTTGTAATACATGGTATTTACCTACCTATCTACTTAATGAACCTACCTACTTACCTGCTTAATGAACGAAAACAATAAGTTATGATGAAAAGACGGTGTACCGGTTCACACGCAAAACAATTTGTATACATTAGAAAATAAAAAAAATTGCATCTTATCCGATTTGGGATTTGTAGAGTTGTAATTGTTTGTGAAGAAACAAAACTATCAACAATTTTCTTTGCAGTCATCCCCGGCGGCATTAAAGTTACATGTTGCAGTTTCTTGTATAACACTTTCTATAATTGATTACACGTAATCGATCTGTGAACACAAAAGATGATGACGCCTATTAGTGTCCCCCGGAGTACGCAATATGTTAGTTACATAAGTGGGAAGCCATTCGATTCTCTGGTGTTTCAATGGGTCAGAAATTGCTTAACTGCTAGCAGCTGAACGCATTGATGGTTAAAACGTGTAGAACAAAAATATATAACGACATCTGAGCACGATCCGGTCCGAGAAGCGTACTCCATCGATCTGTGCTGTAGACGTTTCTAGGTCACTTCGAACGATTTTCTTGGGCGGGCGGTCGATGGTGACCGCGACCGTTTGCTTTTATTAAACCACGTGACACATTTTATTCATTGACTAAAGCTATCACTACGGAAATAATGCCAAGTATTCAAACAAATAAAACGCAAGGTGATGGTAATCAGGTCGCTGCTCTGTTTTCATCTCGAACCTTGCTCTACAAATAGCTAGTATTGTTTACATACTTTATTTAACTCAACGCATGTGTAACTTGCAACTAGAAGATACAGCGCTTTCAAAGAATTTCATATCTTTATAAACCGGCTGATTAGAAAAAGATACGGATTTATTTCATTAATCCTTAATATCAGGCCAATGTGGTAGACTGATGACGCAGCTGATAGAGTATTCTGAAAGAAGCATAAGTATAAGAAGATAATAAGAAGCATAATAGTTTGTTTTTCTCTTTTAGGTGATGGAATTAGAATCGAAGCTGTCGGAAGCTCAGAAGGAATTCATCGAGGGTGCACCAACGCGCGCTAAGCGCACGCCCGCCGAGTGGATCCCACGTCCACCGGAAAAATTCTGTCTCACCGGACACCGGGCCACCATTACCAAGGTTCATATCTCTTTCACAATTAAGCATTATAAGCACAATTACGATAATTTTGCATGTTATGAGGAATGGCCATTAACACATTATTCTATAGTTGTTAGTTTAAGAAAAGAAAAACACATGTTTGGAAGTTTTCTTCCGGATCATGTTTTTCTTTTCATCTTTGTGTTATAGGTACTTTTATTAATTCGTTCGTAAGAACGAACCGTAAGGTTCAACAATACATGGCCCATGGCAAATACAAACATACTTTCTAGTTTCTACATAACATTTAGAATACAAAGCTATTCTTTATTAAACTATTCTGTGTTCTCATAAACGTCTAGTCAGAAAAGAAACATGTCGGTCACATATATTCAGAATTCGCTGAAATCGCATCATTAGTATAATTTGGATTCTTAGTCATTTCATAACAAGCATGAAGATGCTCGAAACATACTTCGAATTCACGAATTGTTTACAACGTTCATCTCTTACTAATTGCATTGCTGAAAATAAATACTTTTTGTAAAATGTTGTGTCCATCAAAATATTAAGTAAATAGAGAAATATTTTTCAGTTAAACACGGCCATTTACAGTATAACATGGATTTTATGAAATAAAACTTTCGAATCCAATGAAAGTCAGAAACTCTAAAAACGTATTGTTTTGGTTTTTGTGTATAATTTCTCGTGATCATAACCATGCACAATTGTATCTAAGAAATGGTGTGACTATTATCTATAGCTTTCCGCGACTTTTTATTCAACTGTTCGAATTAACTTGATCGTGGTTCATTGTGAGAAATTACTCATAAGGTCACGTTTTACTCCATTTTTTATGTAAATTGTAAACATAGAATAACTGTCGTGGCTTTTTTTAAGGGGGGAAAATCATCCAACGACTTCTCCCGCCCGGATGAAGCGGGAAGGAGTGTCAGACTCTTACTGACTAAAACCCCCCCGTTCCTTCTCCTGCGCTTCGAGCCGGAGCATCCGTGGTGGTCTGATGGCTCTTTGAGGCGCGCGCAGAACGCGACGCGCTTTCGCTCGGGTCTGGTTCTGGTCGGGCGGCGAGCCACCCATGCTCGACGTCCGCAGGCCCGCGCTTACGGTCGCGGGCCGGAGATCGTCCCGCGATCCCCGACGCCCGGAGTGTCCTTTGAGATGGCTGGGTTGCGAGGAGGCAGCGCTTCGCTGCCTCACGAATCCCGCCTACTCCTTAGCTAGCATGACTGCTTCGCAAAAGGAGGAGATCCCAGATCTCAGCCCACGCAGGACATCCTGCTACAGTGTGTTCCACCGTGTCCTCAGGGCGGTCCTCACAGTGATCGGGCGTTTCCATTAGACACAGGTACCTTCCGAAACTTCTCATCAGACACAGGTACCTCCCGAAACTTCTCATCAGACACAGGTACCTCCCGAAACTTCCATGTCCGGTGAGGACCTGCGTCAGGCGGTAGGTGAGGACGCCGTAGCGTCTCTCAAGCCACTCCTCAAAGAGAGGACTTACCGCTGCAATGGCAGCGAGCCCAGAACTGTCATAGCTATATTTTCGTTTTCTTTGCATCATTTGGCGTCTATCCTGGTTGGAAGCCCTAAAAATCTAACAACGGGTGTAATCAAGAATTAATTAAAAATAACGGTTTAGTTACGTAAATGACTGAGAAAATATCTATCAGTTTTAAGTCACATCGGGACTCTCCCTCATGTGCTTATCAAGAATGTTGGTGATGATCATCAACTTCTTACTGGGTTTTTGAAGGCAAATGGCAGTTGCTCCATGGCATAAAGTACTGACATTCAATAAGATCTAAAAAACACTTTAGTGTGTAAGAAATACGATGGAAGAATTTTGGACTAATGGTTATTAAATAACATTGCAGGTAATATTTCACCCGGTGTTTAGTTTGATGGTGTCCTCGAGCGAGGACGCGACCATCAAAGTGTGGGACTTTGAGAGCGGCGAGTACGAACGAACCCTGAAGGGACACACCGATTCCGTTCAGGATATCGCTTTCGACCATCATGGAAAATTACTGGGTAAGTTGATAAGTTCTATACATACAAACATAAACCCACGCCTTTATCATATGCCTTAGGCAGGAACTGAAAAAGCTCAACCTATTACGATCCTATCTCTGCATATCTCTTTAAAAACCATTAATTACCTTCATGAACCAGTAAAGGTTGCTCTGTACCTGGCCCATTTTCGCATAAAATGCAACCTTATGCCCAATTTATACGAAAACACACTTCGAATGTGATAAATTAAGCAGTGATGTCACTTACCAACAAAGTATTGGTGTACAAATGTAAAAATATATTATGTAGTCGGTACCACTCAAAGCTACACTTGAAAGCTACTCAAACTGGCAATGACGTCATACCTAACAACTGAAACTAAACTGTGTGAGATCTAACAAAAAGCTATTAACAGGGACCATTATCTACTTGCGTAATACTAATTTAATATTAATATTATCTTACTACATTGTCAAACTTCATGTTTTCCTGAAACTTAACTTAGCCTCATTCAAAAGTTTCCGTTATTTGTGATGACGTTAGTATAATAAATGAAATGTTACGCATTACACTATTTGTTATTCGTATTATTAAAATTGATTGCCAATGAATTAGTCACAAGTGTCCATCGATGACGATCCTTTGAAATACAACATTGAACATAATATTTTTGTCCAATGATGTCATGAGGTTAATGTCATTAATTTATACTGTCAAGGATACTTTTTAGTAGATGTAAATAATTAAAGCCGCTAACTATACTAAAATGCGCCCCTAACCAGGATTTAATTTTTATTGTACAATCAATACAATAGTAAATACAAAATGGTTCGCTACTAACTATACTCTTCTTCATTCGGGTACTATTCACGAGAGCAGGCGCTAATATTGCATAATCAAACGTTGCATTAGTCTAATTATACTGTGTATGAGTCTTCCATTCCATAAAAACTAATAATTTATTTATTTTATTTCCCAGTGTCGTGCAGCGCAGACATGTCAATAAAGCTGTGGGACTTCAACCAAACGTTCGAGTGTGTGAAGACGATGCACGGCCACGACCACAATGTGTCGTCGGTCGCGTTCTCACCTAGCGGGGACATCGTCTACTCCGCCAGTCGAGATAAGACCATCAAAGCTTGGGAAGTTGCCACTGGGTAAGGAATTTCTCTTACTTTTTATTTATACTAATACTAACCTAACCTAACTTAAAAATAATATACTGGCAATAGTATAACCAAAATTTTGACAATGAGATTTCTATACTGTTTACTAATTGGGGGTATTATGGTAATCCCTCTTTTCCCGACGTAGGAAGTCCTTGTTTAGAATTGCACGTTTTCCAGTTGACGAAGATCCTAGTTATTTGCGTTTTTTTTTAATATTTTACTCTGATACGGATGTGTGATAAAAAATTTGTTAAGTGAATCCACCATGTGTTATGCAGCTTGGATTTGACATTCGTTTTTGATATTTAAAATAAACTAAGGGTGAAATGAAACTATGAAGTTAACTACTGTGAAGTAGCTTTGTAGCACAATCCTTACTTCCTTCCTTGCTTATATTATAAATCGGAAAGTGAATTTGTTTGTTTGTTTGTTTGTTCCACTTTAACGCCATAACTACTAAACCGATTGCTTTGAAATTTTGCAGACGTAAAGTTAGAAGTCCGGATTAAATAATAGGGTACTTTTTATCCCGGAAAAATTTGATATTCCCGAGGAAAAACAAAAGTATTGGTATAGATGGCGCTGTGTGTATTGGTATATGTGACATTGGCTTTTTATCCTTTTTGTGACGCGAGCGAAGCCGCGGGTAAAAGCTAGTGTTTAAATAAATTCTGCTACCTAAGTGTCAAGTAGTTTCCCAAGTCCCAATAACTATCGCGGAGAACCTAACAGGTTACCGGGGCTCCGGCTCGACGTGCAGGAAAAGGAACGGGGTGGTTTTTAGTCAGTAAGAGTCTGACACTCCCTCCCGCCTCACCGCAGTCATTCGATGATTTCCCCCCCTTAAAAAAAAGTCCTAATAACTGAAATTAACAAAATTATTTGGTAAGGCTACTTCACTTGATGCCTTTACTACAGTTTCTAACAATGTTCAACTGCTTCTATGTTCCAAGTTTTATTACTAAGTATGTTGATGTTGTAACCAGGTATTGCATCAAGACGTACAAAGGTCACCGCGAGTGGGTGCGCATGGTGCGCGTGTCACCGGACGGCACGCTCCTGGCCTCCTGCTCCAACGACCAGACCGTGCGCATCTGGAACGCAGACACCAACGAATGCAAGGTACACCTCACACAAAATCATGTCAAGGCACCATCTTTCAAGTAAATGTGACTGATTCACTATAAAGCACAGCAATTTGGTTGACCTTACAAAATTTTACAAGTGACTTTTATGTACTTGCATAATTTTTCTCTGGTTTTGTAATAACGACTTCATTTTTTAGATGTCTTTTTGTGATTGCGGGTCTTATACTAATACCACCACAGCACAGTTGTATTATTAAATTAATTATGTTGAACGTTATGTCTTATTCGCGTAACTGTTCGACGAGGTAACTTAGGTAGTTTCAAGACACGCACGGGCTCCTGGGGTAATAAATCACAGTTGCTTCTTTTACCCTTATGTACATATTTCAAGGGAGAATATTTCACAATATAAGACTTTAATTTTTGGTTTTGTTAAATATGTAATTTGTACAGATGGAGCTACGTGAACACGAGCACGTAGTGGAGTGTGTGTCGTGGGCGCCAGAGGCCGCGGCCGCCGCCATCAATGAGGCGGCCGGCACCGACAACCGCCGCGCCAACCACGCCGGACCCTTCCTCGCCAGCGGCTCACGTGATAAATCCGTCAAGGTACAAACACTTCAACACATTGTTCTCAGAATGGAGTTGTTTCTAACCAGCCAAGTTCAGTACTTTTATTGTAAAATGTTAACCACGACATTTTGTTTAGGTCAATTAACTACTATATTCAATGAAAATTGGATGCCGTAAGATGTAACTAGTAAACATTGTAATCGTATGTTCCTAGATCTGGGACGTGAGCACGGGGCAGTGCCTGGCGACGCTGGTGGGTCACGACAACTGGGTGCGCGGCGCGGCCTGGCACCCGGGCGGCCGCTACCTGCTGACTGCCTCCGACGACAAGACGCTCCGTGTCTGGGACGTAGCGCACACGCGCTGTCTCAAGACGCTCTACGCGCACCAACACTTCGCCACCAGTCTCGGTTCGAATTGTTTTATCTGTTACTCTCTCCCGAACATATGACGTGTTTTACTTTGCTTCGTAATGTCAGTACTAATTTTATTTACATTTTGGTCTTTCGAGTTTCATTTTGTGACAGACAAAATAAAATTTTATATCCTTAAAATATCATGAATGTTTCGGTAATTCATATAACATTATAATTTTCTCTTTCAGATTTCCACAGGAGCTTGCCATACGTGATATCAGGCAGCGTTGATCAGACCGTCAAAGTTTGGGAGTGTCGCTAAGAGCGTTGCCATTTTAGTAACTTAAACTCACCGATGATATCCTTATCATTATTATTTCGCGTTGTAGCTACAATGAGAGCAATGTAAGCTGCTGTCATTATGGTCAATCATTTGTAAAGTGGAGACTCTTGTCTCTGCCTCCAGCTCATTGTAGTTTTTTCGTACACCTGACGATGCTATGTCTCCTTTATTTAAATTGGTGTCTAACTATAGTCCCGATTCTCTATTCGTATTCAACTTCTTCGGTTAGATTCACACATTCCATTAAAGTATAATGGCGCATAGTTTCTGTATATTTTTTTAGTTAAATTGATGTTTCCGAATTTTGTAAAAATTTGGACCCTACTCTAGTTAGCAGTGACGTAGCATTCGTCATGTACCGCTCGCAACGATGGAGTGAGGAGCTGTGTGTTATTATAAACCTTCAATTGTCCTGTTTTATTTGATAGTTATTGTTTATTCGTAAAATGTTTAGATATAAATTTTATTTGTTATTGAATAAGTAATTTGATTTATTACCCAACCAATCAGATTTTGTACCTTGATTTCTTTATTAATAATGTTAGTTTTATAAAATTTGATATTGATAGTTATTCATGACAACAAACATTCAATTAATTAATGAACACACTTTGAACTCATCATAAATGCTCCATCAACTATAGTAGTGTACATATAAGGCTTTTGATGTTTGTCTCAGCTCGATACGATGTTCATTATGTTTGTTAGCACCGCCGCCAACAACATTAATGAATATCTATGGGGACAACGAAACCGAAACGAAGTAATGTAGCGACGTTTGTAGGATTTATATCAATCGGTTTCCTAGAGACTTATTTTAAGTTTTGGCAATTCAAAACTTTAACTATAAGTTAGAAAAAGTTATATTTCAAAATTTTATTTATTTATATTGTCACTTCTTATTTTTGTCTCAAACAATTTTGTTAAGTATAAGCATTGAATTGCTAAATGGGTAATTGTAATACAATTCATGTTTTACATTTATTATTAATATCTGATTTTAAAGTTAAGCCAATTTCATTTATGTCATCATAATTATGTCTAAGTAAATTAATGTGTGATATAAACTTTAATTAATACTTTGAATTACAGGCCTGTTTAAGGTAGCTAGATTGAAAGAAAACTTAATCGAAGCCTTTACACCTGACTACGGCGAAGCCAAAAGGAAATGTTATGATTTTCGCAATCTATACAAATGTAGTTCCACCATTGTGTCAATGTGGCACCACCAATAGAGACAAGTGGGATTGCTGCAAATTCCTGTCATTGATGCGCATGTCGTAGGGTGTACTATCCGTGGTCGGGTTTTAGTTTTTTAATTAAAAATATCCATTATTACTATCAATAGTTATTTATTGTAATACGAAATAATTTTGTTGCCTGGTGTTGTAGAGGATAGTTCGTAGTGTAGTTCGCGTAGGTACGCTCATAATACTGTTAGAAACAGCTGTGTTAGTGCATGACATTATGCAACATGTACATTGCTTACATAGGGACAGCCGGTAACACCACGCTAATATATGATATTTACGGAGTTATCGCTTATACGATATGTCGTTATTGCTTTTGTATTTCTAATCGAGATGTATGTATCGTGCGCCGCAGCTGTCGAAATAGATGCTAACTTGGTATTCTTATACGAGAATTATATTTGCTTTGTCAGTGTGAATTCGTAAAATATTATGCTGAAACCAAGGAGATTGTAATAGAGTAGTGTTGTGGCGTATTCGTAGAGAGCGTTTTACCTGATATACTTTAGGCACCTGTGCATTCAACTACCTATGAATAAAACGTAGTATTAGACCATCGTTAGCTCAAACTTTTTACTAAAATGTTTGATAAATTGTTTACATTTTGTATGTCAATACATCACAATACATAATTTCTAGTCATTTTTATTTGCAATCATTTCCGTTTATATGACATATTTCTTAATAATAGATTGATAGTGCATTATATTTATGACCCGAAATATATGTAATAGATATTTTATATTTTAATCATTAGTACTCTATAAGAAAGCATTTTTATATGAAATGTCTAACACTCGGCAACAGAATCAGAGTACTTAAACTTATTGCCATTTTTAGCTGGAATTGATCACAGAAAAATTGAAAAAAGGGCGCTCTCTACTATTACGCGTGCTATATTATCTTGGCATAGAAATATAATCTCTTTGAAATATGGCAGTCGCCTAGTATCAAATAATCTGCTGAACATAATGTTCTTCATTAAATCATTTGTATTACAATTTTAAAATAAGTATCTTGCACTTTTAAAAATGTAATTACCGTAAGAATAATATCGTCAACGTAAGTTCTACTTGCAGAATTCTCTTGTTACATAATTAAAAAAACAAAAATATGTTAGTTTACTGGTTACGACAGAATAGCACTAAGAATATGTGACTGAAGTGTGTTAAATAGGAGAATTTTGCAGTTACTCATAATAACTGCTGTAACTTGTCAAAATTATTACCGAACTCCAAATAGATTTGGTTCGCGTTTCATGTAAATAAACAAGTATTTAATTTATTTTACAGTGTGTTTTTATTTCCACGGCTTTAGTGTTATCTTAACATCTAAAATCGTCTATATTTAAATTCACAAACCCTTTTTTAACCAACTAATTTTGTTTGAGGTGTTGATATAAAGTACATATCTACAATTTGAATGCAATATGTCGCGGGTTCGATGTCCGCTCGGAATTAATAAATATTTTTATTATTTATAAATTCTACTATACTGTAATTATCATTTATATGATATAAATACATTGTGGATTACGTTCTGGCCAGACCAGTAGTATCCCTAAGTGGCCAACTGCCTATAAAGAGGCTGGGGTACCAAAATAAGTTAGCTGCGCCTATTCTATTTTCTAGTGTATTCTCGGCGCTTTATGCGCTCGTGCGTTTTAGTTTAGAAATAAAGAGTCTATCATGTATTTGGCCGATCGTCATTTTTATTAAGTCTTAATTGGACTGGAAATTGAAATAATTGTCATGGCATAAATATAAACCAAAGATTAAAAAAAAATCATAATCGACTAAATTTTTAATAATTATCAGGAACCTCTCTATCATTCTATTATCTGTATCGACGCAACGACAGCTGGCTGATCGACGACAGGTGACAGACGAAAGGTCACAGAAAACGGGAATGGAATTCACGCATTCGGTCGAATTCTCGTGATTATTTTGTGAAGCAAATATTAATTGAAATTTCAAATACTACGAAAATGGATGTGGAGGAGTGTCTCAAAGAATGGGAGGATTTAGTGGTGGATTACAAGCGCTTAGAGGTAAATTATTTTACTTGGTATACTTAACGTTATTTTATCGTCTGTTTTCATGGAATTTAAATGCGTTGTTCACATTATTTTTAATTTGCAGCCTGTTGATAGTCAACGATATTGCTAATAAAATCAAATATTATGGTTTTGCTGTATGAATATACTCTTTATAAGCCGTATTTAGGAACGCGCCACTGTATTTTTATCCCCGAGTGTTTCGAGTAAATCTCTGAAATAACGAAAATAGACAATATTTTAAGGCGGCTTTATTTTCTTATAGGTTGTAAACAAAGACTATGTAACAAAATTGGAAGAAGTTGGAGAGTTGCAGGCTGCTTGCATGAAGGAGATTAACCACCAGAAGTATCGCATGTCTATTATAGCTGCCGCGCTGAAAAGGTCAGAACAATAGAGTCAACATAATTATCTAAACATAGCCAGATAACATACTTCCCTATTTTCATATTTGCAACTATTAATTCAACATGATCTATCAATAATACATAATTATTGCTTTAATTAGCTCAAGTCTTCTGAACCATTTATACACAATTACACATGATAATGAAGCCCTTAATAACGACATAATTAAGCTTCCAATCCAATTAAAATTGGAGCACAACCTTGATTGGTATGAATTTTAATCTGTTTACTATAGCATGTAGTAATGTTCAATAAAATAAAATATATATTTAATCTTCTTTGAATTCATGTTTAAAAAGTGCTTCTGTCTACTAACTTTAATGAATACTGTATTAAATGATAAGAATGTGATTTTACATTCTATTGTTATAATTTATGCCGTAAACTTATGTGCATGTACCATTAAAGGGCAGATTAGATTAGATCTTAAAACTAGTTGTACAATTATGATTTCTTTGTTTAGGTTAACCATAATATAATGTCACCTTTTTCTGAGAGGAAAAGCCCAAGAGGCAGAAGCCTATAGCACAAAGTTATCCTAGTTTGGGTAGGAACCCAAAAAGCCAGGAGGCTTTTACCATTTCATTGTCAGTTAAATTACTCAAACCTTGTGTAGACCCTGTTTCCTACAAGTATAATAATTATGCCAATATTATAAGATTATTTTTGGTCTATATTCCTTCTGTATTATGAAGGAAAATAAACAAATGCCTTAAGGGGTAGGTAGACATACATCATTATAGATACAAATGGTGTATCAATTACTACTTATTTACTATTTGACTGCATGATTGGTGCGGTGGCTGGGCAACCGGCTGCCGTGCAACGTGTTGTGGGTTCGATTCCCGCACGGAACAACACTTTGTGTGATCCACAAATTGTTGTTTCGGGTCTGGGTATCATGTGTATGTGCATTTATATGTTTGTAAACGCACCCACGACACAGGAGAAAATCCTAGTGTGGGGCAACTTTTAAAAAAAAAAATTAACCATTTCTAAATAGAATAAAGTAAAATTATTGTACTCAAATCTTAAATGTACAAAACTAAACAGATTTAATAAATTAACATCACAATTATATTTCTTTTATGATAACAAAATTAGAACATTTCTATATTAGGCTATTTGGCTATAGGAAATTGTTATCAAGTTGATGTCCTACTACAAAGTTCAAACTACAGATTAACACATCAATTTCTTGTTATTTACAGTAATTATGTAACACAATGATAAGTTAACAGATTAATGCTGGATATACTGATAATTTTAAATCCATTTACCAGTATTATATACTAAGAATGACTTGATGAATTCAGTTGATTAAATGCATATCTTTATTGATAACACTCCTTTTGCCTTTTACCTCCCAATGGGGAGGCAGAAGTGCACTATACTACATACATTTAAGGGCCTATCTATTCCAAACACTAATGTATGATCCCCAAAATGCAGAAATTGATGAATAATGATAAAAAGTAATCTATATAAAAGATATAGATTACTGTCATTCATGTCTGAGATATGTTTTTGTCTCATGTCAAAAGTACAATAGTTCTTTAAACTACCTACTTCAACCTTAGTCACATTAAGACCTTGTATGTACGAACAAATTAATTCATAATATATTTGTTATTTGTGAATGTTTTATTTATGTGCATTCAACTTATGTTTATTCAACAGTATAACTTAAATATTTAGGGTGACTTTACTGCTATGTTTATTATTGTTGTCAAAAAATATATTATTAAACATAACACATTATACTTACCTGTTATGTGCTTAATGGACTAAGCAGAGATGTGTAACAGTTCATTATATATTCCTTTTGTCATAGAAGATGTGTCTGTTACCAGACACAAGTTGAACTCCAGACTATGCTAGATGATGTATTTGTCTATTGAAAATTTTGAAAATGGAACTCTGTTATTATTTTTTTAAACTGAGAAGCTGTGACCACTTGCTTGTTAGTTAGCAATCATCCAAGGCTAGTTTTGGTAGCAATCATCAAAATAATGCAACTAACTCTTAAATATCTCAAACAGGTTAGAAAAGAAAGGAGTCACGAAAGATGACCGCGTCGCGAATTTGGAGAAAGAGATAATGAAGAGGAAAGCTATGTTGCGGGAAATCAACGCGACGCTGCCCAAACAGAATAGCCTGTACTTGCGCATCATACTCGGAAACGTTAACGTTTCTATACTCAACAAAAATGACAAGTAAGTTTGGTGATTTATTTGTTAATTAGCAACCTGAAACGATTATGTTGTTAGTATATGCCATTTTTGATGTGAGAATGAGAAGTAAACTTCGATTATTAATAAGTAGGTAACTTAATTATTTTTATGAAATATATTATATTTATAAATACAAGGAAGGAAGGACCGACCTATCTACCTACCTATTCGTAGACACATAAATTTTTCGAATTTTAAATCCTTCGCGATTTGTTCAGGTTCCTATATTTTTCATTTTTTTACAAATATTTTCAGTATTTCGAACTTTTTCACTATATTTGGCTTTGTTGCGTCATCAAACGGTCGATGTCATTGTCTGCTCTTATCACATTTAACCATCTGTTTCTAAAACGGTATCAAGGGCAAGCAAATAAAAGTAATGAAAGTATATAGAATTGATTCTTATCTATATTTTCATTATTATCATATAAAAATATGCCCTAGTATTCTACTCCCTGAATGAATCGGTAGAGGTCTACTCACATATTATTACACGTACCTGCATTTAAGTTTATTATTGCCATTATTACAATAATTTCTGGCCCCTTAATTTTTCTAGGAATCGAATCGACTCAACTCCTAGGTCAGATAATTATCAAATTAGCTCTGACTTAAATTAAGAAGGCATGTCTCCCTTATACAACCTATTTGGTCGCACTTCAATATATGTAGAACACCATATCGATAACGCACCTTTAACAAACAGTTCTATTAGGCAATGTTACTTCCTTAGGGGAAGGGTTCAATCGACACAAACGGAAAACTAGATCAAACGTAATCAAATAATGCTTGGGATTGATTGACTAAAATACTTGGCTTTTATGAGACTGAACTGATGTCCATAGATTTATTATCATCTTGGATTCATTGATTTATTATTATAATTTTACTAATATTATAAATGCTAAAGTTTGTTCCTCAATCATATCAAAACTAGACTGCACGATTGGTACGATGGCTGGCTGCCATGCAACAGGTAGTGGGTTTGATACACGCACGGAAACTCTGTGTGATCCACAAATTGTTGTTTCTGGTCTGGGTGTCATGTGTATGTGAAATTGTATGTAAACGTACCCACGACACAAGAGAATATCCAAGTGTGGGGGCCAATCCAAGGTTTAAATGAAAAAAAAAAATACGTCTGAAAAGATTGGGGTGAAATTTGGTACCTACAGGGGTAGATGGGGTCTGGAATGTGCATAGGCTCATTTATATCCCACGAGAAAGCGAGCAACGCCGCTGGCAGAAAGTTCTAAATACATTAAGAACAATAAAAATAGCAAAACTGTAGGTACCTATTTAGTATTTGGTTAACTATTAATAGTTTATCATGAACAACCTTGGGTTAAGGTCACAAGGCTAATTGTCGAGGAACTACTTCCTAATGATAATACAACTTGCTAATTAGAAGACTTCATGAACAGCGTTACGGATTTAAAGTAGGTAGACACTTTTATCTGAGCTCTATTTTTACCTCAAAAAATTATCAACTTTTTTTTAATATAATGCAATGTATAATTATTACAATAATAATTATCCAAAAAATGAAATAAATGCATTATACATTCGAAACTATTTTTTTCATTCGATGATTTTCCCCGCTTAACCCATTTAGGCCCGCCGTCCCCATATGGGGACAGGTTTTCTTTTACCCGCTGGTTATTAATTATTTTAGCTATCTTCACATTTCATGGGTATTTATAATGAGGAGTAGTGTACTTTCCTAAAATTAATATAACTTTTGACAAATTGCTACAAAAAAGGGGTCATATTGTCAATTTTATCAAGAGGAAGTGAAATGGGAATTATTATTGAAAGCAGAGGCGTTTTGTAGTACGTTATTATGAAGATTTATAAAACTTTTTTGTGATTATTGCTTGCTTATAGTGTCAATTAAAACAATATTGAAGAATATCCTTATACTTTCAATTCCGCTTAGGGGAAAGTTAGAAAAAATGATTGTGTCCCCGTATGGGGACAATGGGCACATCTGTAGTATATTTTTAAAACATTTATACCTGATTTGTATTTTGTTTTCCAATTTATAAAGGTCACCTATAGGCTAAACTTAGTTATAGCTAATACTTGGTGACAACAGACGCTATTTCACGAAGAGCATCACCAATTCCGCCATATCTTTACGCGTTCATATTCTAAAATCTGATAGGCATCAAGACCGAAGATGCAAAAGTCCACCTACAGTACCAAGCGTCGCATCCGATATCAGAATTCAGCAGTAGGGGCATTTCCTCCAGCTGTATTCTGGTGTCGTCACAGCGAAGTCCACCCAGAGGATAGAGTAGCATTATGCCCTGTATACGTTGACCACCGCCGTGTCTTCAGGGAAGTGATCGACAACGATAAACTTCCACGTCCAGCTTAGGTTCTGGCTGTGGTGCGGAGCGCGGGGAACTGGAAAACATCTCTTTCTGCGAAGCAGTCATAGTAGCAAGAACAGATCGCCACCCAGAACCAGACCTGTACCTGTAAGGCGCGTGGCGTTACGCGCGTGCTTCAAAGTGCAGATCAGACCGCCTTAGATCGAGATGGCTCAGTGGGACAGATGCCCGACTACTATGAATAACCTAGTGGGTCACCGGGGCTTCGGCTTGAAGCAGAATTAGGAACGTGTTGGTTTTTAGCCAGTAAGAGTCCCCCAGGTGGAAAACGCAATGCATGATTTTTACCCTCAAAAAAATATAGGAGCGTCACATCAAATTGATTTAGACATTTTCCGCAGAGATTTAGTTAATATCTGTTACGATACGCAGTTCGTCATAAAAAAACTGTGATATCAATGCAAATAATGCGTTAGAACCTTATGTGTCGAAAACAGTTACTACTTCGAAAAGTACTACACATGAGCCCATTGTCCCCAATCAAGGACGGCATTTATTTTAATACTTCTAAAAATATTTTTTGAATTTTTTTGCTGATATTAGTTTGTGGGCGTCATATCATTGAGTTAATAAAGTTTTTTTTATTAAATTATGTGTAGTTTGCATTTGGTCCCAAATGGGTTAAGAAAAAAAAAATAGAAAAAGGTCCTTGTCCTCAATTCTGGATTGCGCCTTCGTGTAAATTAATATTGAACTTTTTTCCCACAGATTCAAATACAAGGATGAATATGAAAAGTTTAAGCTGATTCTTAGTGCCATCGCCTTCGTCTTAGCCGTTGCGAATCTTTACATTGATTTCAGGTAATATTTTACATTCAGTATAATAATTAATTGCCACTTTGCCTAACAAGAATATTTAGTACGTAAATAGTTAAATAGTAAACAGACTATCTTATTCATTATCGTAGTTCAAGGTCCAAACTACACTTAGAAAATGATTCATAAATATAAACATCGTCTTATACCTCGAAGAGATATATTTACGTAACGTGTTTCCACCTACAAGTCGCCAGTATTGTTCTATCCCATTATAATAGAGGGCAATAATAGAGGGCAAAATTATTGACATACACCATGCTCAGTACCAAATACCAGGCTATCACTAAAACATATAATAATATTAATAATGCTTTGCCTGCCTCGGGATTCTGAGACAGTTAAAGTATCTGTACTTATTTATAAAGCTGATGAGATTTTTGTTTTGAAACTACTGTTTCGAATTTAAATACATTTTTTGTGATAAATACTTAATTTATTTAAGTAAGGAAGCTATAGAATATATAGATCATAAAACATTGGTCTAACGACGATTAAGAGCCGAGAACCAGTTAAAACTGAAGCCTTAGTACGAATTTCTTTTTCGTTTAAAGTAATCGAAACGAGACGGCGTTCTGTGCTCTGATTGGTTGGTTCATTAGAGCCGGCCAATCGCAGCGCCGAACGCGTACTCGTTACGATTACTTTAAACACGATTAGCTAGTACACAATATTTTTGTTCCAGGCCATTACAATTAATACTGTTGTTCCTGCTGGTATGGTACTACTGTACGCTGACGATCCGCGAGAGTATCCTCAAAGTGAATGGTTCTCGTATCAAGGGCTGGTGGCGACTTCACCACTTCATATCAACCGTTGTCGCTGGTATACTTCTCATCTGGCCCCAGAACGAACCATGGAACCTCTTCAGACATACTTTCATGTGGTTCATTGCTTATATCAGTAAGTATAAAATATTATCTTTTTCATTTTTTCGCCTCCTGCTAAAAAGAGATAGGTGGAAATTATTTATTTTTGCTTCCAATCGGACGATTTTGATGGCCTATGTTCAGCAATGGACTTCTAACATAATGATGATGATGAAGTAACTTCAGTAAGGCACTATTTTTAAAGTTTCCATTTTCAAAGGTGCCATTTTTTTTAGTATTTGTTTTGTTCCGTAGACCCTAGATGAGTTTGATTGACAAAAATTGGCCGCGAATTCGTCAGCAATTATCTGTTCCTTCCGACTTTCATTACAAAAATATCCTTCATCGATTTTCGATATGTCATCAAACTCATCAATTATTTACTGTGTATCTAAAGTAAATTAGCTTATAAGTAATGTTGATTATTTGTATGGGGCGCGATAGTATCTGATTACATATCTTTCGAACTGTAGATAACAAATATTGCACATCGACATGGCAACAGTAGTATATTTATAAATTGCTTTAATTAGCGAGTGCAGCTGTGAATTACATTGCACTATTCTGACATTCACTCGAAGAGGTAGGCAGTATTGTAAAATGTTACATAACATAACATCACGTCTTTTATCCCCGTAGGGATAGGTAGAGGTGCACATTATGCCACTGTACAATGTAAAACCCACTTTTCACTATTTATGAGTCCCATGTAATAGGGGGTGAGATAGGGGGTAAAATGTTACCTCGTCTAATGTGTGTTTAATGGCGTGAATGCAGCCTCGAAGTCAATCCTAAGGTACCTACTCGTGTGTAGCAAAGTTTTGATAAAGGAAATTAAACTAATTTTGGACAACACATGCAATGAAAATTTTAACCAATTTCTGAAGCTAAGTAGTCGCGGTGGGGATTGTCAATCTTTCACACATCGTTGTCACTTTAATGTGTAGGCAAAATGCAAACAAAATTGTCCTCTATTGACAATAGCTTGTCGAGAGCTGAAGTAACATAATCGTATTTGTCTGACGAAATAATGGTGATATGTAGGCGAATCTCGTGTCTGCGTCGTCAAATAACTAAGATTAAAGGTCGCGCGTTCAATGTGAACAACGTGATGTTTTCCCCTCTCTGACGGACGGAGAATATGAAACTTGAATAAAGTGTAGGACAATTGTTTTATTTTTACCTGTAACAAAATACTGCGTTGACTACGGAAAGGTTCACATTTAAAATTAAAAAGCTGGGAATCAAGGTCGAGTGCTTGGGCTTCATATTTTTGCGCTTCCTAATAGTAAACTGTTTAACTTAGATACCCTTACAATACCAGACGTATTACGAGTGCGCTGCCGACCACGAACATTTTCCAGCCTGTTTTCTCCAAAAATTCGTAAACCAAAGCCTTAAATAACGGAATGGTTTTTAGTTAGTAAGAGTTTGACACTCCCTCTCGCCTCACCCGGGCGGGAGAATTTAATGGCTGATTTTCCGTCAAAAAAAAAACTAACTGGCCTTAACTAACTTGTAAATGAAGTGTATAAACTGACCATTTGCTCTTTTACAGGTGTAGTACAATACATGCAGTTCAGATACCAAAGCGGGGTCCTATACAGGCTAAAGGCCTTGGGAGCTAGGCATAACATGGACATAACAATAGAAGGATTTCACTCATGGATGTGGCGAGGACTGTCCTATCTATTGCCATTCTTATTCGGAGGTTATGTGTTCCAACTGTACATTGCATACACGCTGTATAGCCTCAGTTACCATCCAGAAGCCACATGGCAGGTATGTACTTAAATATTTACTTATCAATTCTAATATAACGAAAGTAAAAAGTTTGTTCGGTTGTTCAGTATTTATCCAAGGAATTAAAAAGATCTTTAGAAGGAATCTTTTTTGCCTTTGATATTGCGCAGCGAAAACCGCGGCGAAATGCTAGTTTGTTTTTGAGTACCTACGGTAAATGGTACTTAGATTTTTATTGATGGGAGAATTAAAGTACATGGTATTATATATTTGGTATCTAAATGTTTAATGTCTGCTTATATTTCTTGGTTTAGATTTAGAATGAAATACACAATTTTTTGTTCTATTTATCTATAGGTAAAAAATTGTCTTAATATTTTGTCCACATTATTTGCTTGATCAGTGGTTTAATTTTCGACCAGTGTATAGCGTAGTATCTGATAATATTCTTATGCACTACTGTATGATCTGAAAGTACTTATCGTAACAAAATATAAAACTACTGTCCTGTAACAAACCGACAACAGATACCAGCATTAAGTTTATCATTCCTGACGATTGGCATCGGGAACTGCGCGACGACACTCATCGTGATCCCTCAGAAATTGAACGAGCAGGTACAGTGGAACTGAAACGATTGGACTTCGCAACGCGTCCGTGACGCGCGCCGCACGCTGTGTGATGTAGTGACGTAGACTGTAGACTTTATACCGTGTACACAGAAGCACGTCGTTTGTAAAAAAAAAACAACTACTGTCACTTTTGACGCACGATACGTTCAGCAACAAAAACATTGTTTGAAGACGCAGTTGTCATTCAAGATGGAAAAAAATCTATTTTAATAATAATTTATCATATTGTTTGGTCATAGGGTCTTTATGCTCATAAGGTCTCAAAACCAAAGTTATTTTGATCCTTTGAGGATTTTTATTCCGAATAATTTTAAGAGACGAATGAAACTAGCACTTTCTTTCAATTTTCTAATTACTCCACGCCTTGTTCATTCTTTAATTTCACCATTTATGGTCACTTCATAATTATTAATCTCTTTTCAAACTTAAAATCATTTCGATTATTTATTTCATCTGTTTTTGTCGCTGATTGTACTTATAGGCACACAAGATAGTTGTGAATTTTAATACTGTTATCAGGTTTTAAGCACGAACGATATCTTTCTTTAGACTACACGACGTCTTCTGTTTATATGTTATAAATAGATAATTTAATTGCGGACGGTATTTGGATAGTTACCCAAGTCTTAATTTCTATTAGATCTAAAGGACCACTTCACCAAATGCTTGATCCGTTTGAACGCTTTTAGACAACTTATTTTTTTTTAATATTTGACTATCACACGTTATACAAGTTAAATAATTTTTGGGTAATTATGATGTCGTTCTTATCTTTGAAATATGAATATTTGTCTAAAAGCAAATACAGAATGTAGTTCTGATAATCTCCCTGACATTAGCACCTTGTAATAAATCATAGTTTACATAGTAAATGTTCAATAGCGTTGTCAGGTACTGTTTTAACCATTACTATTACAATGTAGCTGTTCTTAACTACTAAATTACATTTTTACACGTTCTCTTTATCAGAACTACAGTATCTAAATGATTTCGAATGCATTCGTGTTGTATGTTTGGACCCGTGGACCAATTTGTTCCATCATAGATTGTAGAAACATAGATTTTATATTTTTATTTTCTTATGTAATATTTTCATGAAGTGACTCAAATATAAACATTTCGAATCTCTTTTAAATTCCATGCTCTATATAAATATATGCTGCGCGCGACCAGTTTATGACACTTAAATAAGGTGCATTATTTATGATCAATTCGATCACCTGATCGCGCGCACAAAACAATAGCATATAGTTTTTGACATTTCACTAATATATTTTATTTACTTATCTCCTTGATTAACACATTACTAATAAAACTATGAATATCTGTATATTATGTGAGGTTAATTTATATTATTTATTATTGTGTACTTTTCTATTTTCAGTAATTAAAAGGACTTCATTTTATACCTACCTACTTTATACGGAGTCTGTGTTGAATGGATTTAGTATATTTTACTATTTTCTCAATATAACTACCTATTATGTAATAAATTAATGTGCATAAACGCATTTAATCTGTACATATTTATGTATATACATAATATTAAATAGTTTGCGTTTATAAATCATTTAAATATGTATATTTAATATTTATGAACAAGTTTTGTGCCAAAAATGTATTTCAGTTGTGCTTTTAAGTATTATAAACTTCAAAGTTGTGCATTTTATTGTCGGTAGTTAGATTTGCCATCAGCTTCGCTGGTTTTAGAGCACACAAAGCTATTTTGCTTTTTTTAATTCTTGTGTTATTGGTTTGGTCACCTTTATATTTTGCCTAAATATTACAACATGTAAAGAAAAAGTTAAAATGAAACCGATTGATAATAATTTATATCAATAAGTATACACTGATACGATTTTATTGCTTTTTAAGTAAGTATGTATACTTGTGCAATTCTATGAGAGGTAACTTTTAGATTATTAATAAATATATTATCAAATTGAACAACGATTTTAAAAGCAATGATGATAGTGTTTGCATGACTTATTTATATACGGTACTATTTATTGCATGTTCGATTAATATTCCTATCTGCGTCACGTAATATGGAAAAATATCAATAGCTTTATTATAGTTTCATATTGTGATTGCATTTTTCGACATCACGTGATAATTGAAACCGCATTTTATATAAAACTAAATACTTTGAAAATGTTGAAAGCAGGCAATACGTAGTAAACTGTGTATATATTCACTTGTAACGGCTTTTTATGTATTTTTTATGGATCTGAGCTTAAATAAATTATGTGAATTTAATTATTGTATCTTGTAAAAGGCACAAATAGTTCATTTTAGATAAATTTATTGCGATGTATTGTATGGGTACATTTTTATAGTTTCCACACATACATATTCCCAACATCACACTTTTATATCCTAATGATTTTTACAAGTGTTTAGACAAATAAGAATTTGAAACATAAATTATGGACGTAATTATAAGCTGGAAAAGTAAATCTAGATATAGATAATTTATTAGACGAACCGTCCTGCAATAATAAAGTAATAAATAATGGTTATTATAATATTAGTGTTATCAAAGTGTTGATTGGTCTAGTCACATTCTTACATGGCTAATTAACTGTTATTGTAATGTTGGAATTACAGCTGGCACGGTGACACCCATCCGAGCACCTGTGTTATCAGTGTTGTGAAACACCTATATCACAGGCCACAGCAATAATAAATAGTATGTAATGGGTGACTGTAGTATGCAGGAACCGTAGGTAGATAACATGTTTTATGAAGCCAGATTATAAGTGGCATACCTCTACAGGCTTTATGTACACGACGGAGTGAATATTTCGTGCCTTGATCAAACAATAAACTATTCGTAATTTAGTGATAATGTTGTACTTATGCTTTGTATATTCGATTAATTTATAATGGTTGTTTTTAGCTCTTATTTGTAATGAATGTTATTTATTTGAATGCATTGATGAATAAATTTGTTTTTCAGCTATATTTGCATTTTTAAATTTATTTTATATGTATTTTGTTTGCACCATTCGACAGATATCTTACCTGGCGGCTTTCTTTCTTACATTGCACTGTCTCAACATGTATACAATACTCCAGACCTTGCACAAGAAGTTGCAAGGAGGCTTGAAGCTACGGTACAAATTACGTGCAATTGCCTACCGTCTATCCAATGAGCTCGCCGTGTTGGTACGTGCATGATGTATCACTTATTAGCGTACTTTGAACTTCCCACTCTGAGGTAATCACTCGCGCTATCATACCGAGTCACACAATAAATACTATTTCGAAGGTAAATCTTGGGTTTGTTGATCGCTCGTGATGACGTCAGAGTGGCAGTTGGATGAGTGAAGAGGATGCAGGTCCAGTTTGTCTGTCAGTTATGTCCGTCCGTTTTGCAAATTCGTCTGTTTTTGTTTACCATGAGCTCAAAAGTACCAGAAGTTACGCTAATTTACTCAGTTAAAAAAAATATACTATTGATCAAACAACGTAAAAAAGAAAAAGGGATCGTTTTAATAATTCAATTTATAAAATGCTTTTCGCAAATGGTTGTCAGGATTCAAATAGTTTCAAGAACTTGGACTGTCCATGTTCGCAGTAAGCATACGGTGTTGGTAAGTAACGTTTTGAGCGAGTGTTGTCCACACGGATAAATAAATATACTGGACACTAAACAATTAAAAACTCATTCAGTATAAATATTTATCTATGCTAAATGTATGTAAATATTTGTTGCGTTTGGGCAATTAGTTTGGTTTACTGTAGTATAGTATAATATGTTTATGGTATTGTTTGGATGTATGCCGTTTTGTATCGTAGTGTTGTGTGGTGGGTCGCAATTCGGATCGGTTTTGAGTTGCGCCCGGGGTAAAGCTGTTAGCACACTGACGACTGCTAGTTATTATAATAAATAATACATAGATAAAATATCTTTGTCCGTGTGCTAATTGCACTAAAGCCTAGAGAAGATTTTTTTCTCTAAGCTTGATTGCATGTAACGTGTTATTGTGTGTTGTTTCACTTAGCTTAGGTATGTTTAACTATTATTGTATTAATTAGTATACTCTACGAATATGATTTGAATTGAAAATTTATATTTGTCAATTACAGGAACAAAAATGGCGACAGAATAAAGTGGAAACGAAATCAGAATAACTTTATCTGGCCTATATTTTAATGTGATTTACTAACGAATGTATTAAACAGATTGATGGATAATTTATATTTTCATAATTCATGATATTCAAAACTGTATAATGCGTTATTTCTCTATTGTAAATAATAATATAGTTATTTAATAACTCTTGTGGCTTTTTTTTAACTAACATTGGTATGGGATTTACCATTAAATTATTAATGTGGACTTTTATGATTGATTGTATAAAACAATCAATCATAAAAGTCCGCATACATAATCATCTCATATAATTCTCTATCGGTTCATATTACTCGCTGGCAAGTAACAAAAGTTTCTGGTAAGTCTGTGTGCATAAGATATACATTTTGAGGGTATTAGAAGAAAAGTCACATGTATTAACCTAACATCAGTTATAATTCATATTTACAACACATTTTATGCTTAGTTTTATAACAAAATAAATACATTATATAGTTTGTATGAACAGCGACAAAAAGAAAATTTACGGAAATTACAAAATTGGTTTACTTGGCTAGATCTTGGCTCTTGTGCTGTAATTTAAGTATATCTAATTGAATCAGTCGACGTTTAATTATTATTTACAAAATTTTCAGCTACTCATTCATCATGTTCATCTGCTGAACTGTGCCCTACATTGTGATCACTGTCGTGATCGGAATCTTCAGGCCCCTCGTGTACGTCTACGCGAGGTTTCTTTACCAAGAGGCCTTGTTTCTGTAACCTCTGTATTGCTTCTAAAGTAGTCCGTTTCATACCACTCGATTCACTATTTTCTGGCACTTGTGATTGTCTCTGCTGACTAGCCGTAATTTTTAATCCACTCACATTACTAAGCCTACTTATCTGCTGGGAACTCGAGTTTACTTCCGATTTCATTTGTTTCGCGGTCACTATAGAATTACCCTTAACTAACTTTGTAGAACTTGTAAAATTAGAACTACTGGATTGCGAAGCTGAAGTATACTGGACGGTGCCCTCACTACTGTTGTTAAATGCAGGTATATCGGACACAGGTATTAATGACTCTTTTGGCTTTTTAAAACAACTAAAAGGCCCACTCACTTCTTCAGTAACTGGTCGCTTTATAACAGCCGATGGTGAAATCTTTAATGGTTTTCCAATAATTGGTTTGTTTGTACTAGGAGAGGATGGTCTGGCAATAATCGGTTTGTGTGGACTAGGAGAGGACGTCACTTTTTTGCCAATCATCATTCTTGGATTAATAGGTCTTGCTATATTTATAGGAGTAGGGCTCCTTATTGCAACATTTTGATTAAAGTTCCTAGTGGCATTATTTGGTCTAATTTGCGATACGGTATTGCTAGTTTTAGTAATTGGAGTAGCGTGTCTTATAACAACACCTTGAAGGTTTTTCGGGCCTGCCGGCCTCATTCCTTGTATCCGCTGCATCGGAGAATTTGTTTGAACAGAGTTCCGAACTTCTTGTTTCATTGTTTGGTTCACTGTCTTTATAGTTTTAGTGACGGTCGTAGTTATTTCTTGTATCATGGTTTTCGTTTGAATTGTTTTAACAGTTACTTCCTTGTTGACAGTGTTCATTGAAGATACCTTCTTCAAAAAAGCTGAACTATGGTCATTCTTAGAAACCCTATTAATAGCAACATTATCATTTTGAAATTCTTTTTTTATAATTTGATTAGATTTAGTTGGCTGTTGTTTTTTCTGTGCTTGTGTTGTTTCTTGACTATCCTGTGAATGAATGTGTGTTTTGCTGTCTTCGTCGTTATCCATTGACGTTTTACTTAAAGATTTTATTGTTAGATTTTTATTTATACTCTTCAAATTATTTAAGCAAACAGAATTGACTGTGGAATTTATAGTTTGTTGAGATTTTTGCATTGTGTTGACTCTAATGTCTTGTTCAAAGTCATGTATGTCGTCATCTTCATTTTCGCTGCACGATTCTTTCGGTGATTCAATAATCGGGTTGTTAACTGTCTCATTCATTTCTTCGATCTTTTCATGATGGTTTTCATCACAATCATCAAGTTCCATGTCCTCATCAAGTTCTGTGATTTGTACTGTGCCTGGATTAGAATCAGAGTCAGAAGCATAATCGTCTTCGGTGACTTTAGAATCTTGTGAATTTTCTTGAGATTTCGCAAACTGGCTTGGTGAAGTGTTTCGAGATTTTATTGTAATGTTCTTACTAATACCCTGCAATATGTTTTTGACTGCCATATTTTTATTTTTCATACTCATATTGCTATCATTGTTTGATTCGTCTTTGAATTTATGTTGACTACTATTGTCTTCTTTCTCAATCTTTATATTATTTTCTACTTTAATATTTCTACTTGTTGGTGCTTGATTCAAAGGCTTGACTGTTATATTTTTACTTAAATTCTTTAGTGCGTCCATGGACTTAGTTGATCCTGGGCTACTTTGAGTAGGTTGTGGCTGATTTCTACTGTTTTCTTCCTCATCTTCGGAGTCGTCTACATCAAAAATTTCTATAATTTCTTCAGGTTTTTGAGGTACTACAACCTTTTTAGGAACATTAGTTTGTTTCATATTAGCAGACAAACTTTTATTTTTATTTATTACAGGCTTCGTTGTTATGTTTGTAAGTCTTTTTAAAATTTGAGCATTCGAGTTAGGCTGTGCATTATCCTTTTCAACTTTCATTTTAGGGATCTGTCCTGCAGGAGATTTAGCCATATGTTGTCCTAGTACATATCTTCTTTCTTGATGATTCACTATCTTACCAGGTTTAGGTTCATTCGTTTCCAATTTACTTTTCTTAATAGTTATGTTTTTATTGGAACTTACATCTTTTGATTGTAATCCACTTGTATTTTTATCATCTTGGACAATTTCGTCATTTTCAGATTCATATGCGTCAATATTCCTCTTTGTTGCCACTGACTTGACAGTTATATTTTTGCTTAGGGTTTTTAAAGCGTCTAAAGTAGGATCCTTTTCCACAGTTTTTGGTTTATTAACGTGTACTGTATCAACAGGCGAATCAGAAGCTTCCTTTTTATTAATATTTTCGGTAGCTTTAGTAATATTTGTTTCAGTAATTATCTCAGCCTTAGGTTCTGTTAGTGTGCTGTTTTTGTTTTGACTGATAGGTTTTACAGTTATTAGATGACTCAAACGTTTTAACGTTGATAAGGAACTAGATGATGCACTCAATGTGGTATCATTATCTATGTTTGTTTGGCAATCATCTATGGCTTTATCATCCTCCATGTGATTGTCAAGATCCGATGCATGTTCTGCATCATCAAATTCCGCATCAGAATGGTCAGAATGATATTTCTCAATTTCTTCATGATCCGGTTCATGTGTATTTTCAGTTTCTTTAGTTACATTGTTAGTTGTTTTTTGGGAATAATCCAACTTTGTAACTTTAGATATTATTTGCTGTGGAGTTTCTTTACTATCTGGCACAACTCTGTTATCAGTCTCTTTGTCTAAATCAGTATCCGAAACACTGTCGCTGACTTTATTTGCTTCGGATTGTGTATCTGGTACAGTAACTGGTGTTTCTTCTGTATTTCTAGTCTCTTTAGTGCTATCTGTATCAGTTTTAGTAGAGTCCATTTCAATGTCATTCGAGCTGATTTTGTTAATATCTTCAGGTGTCTCTGGCTCCTCAACTGCATTTTGGATTGTTTCCTCAGGTTCCATAGTCGCTGCCGGATTTATTTTCTTTACTATTTTTATCTGATTGTTACTTTGATTTATTAATTTATTTAAAACTTCACTCGAAGTTTCTATTTCTCTTATTTGATTTAACTTAGGAACAGGTTTATTTGCAGTGTTAATGGGTGTTGAAGTGGCGACTTTAAAATTTTTAACTATTGGCCTATGAGCTATCTTTCTTTTGACGACAATGCCTGCCTTTTTTAACTTGTCCAGTTCAGCAGAGGTGGTAGCATTGTTCGTCATCTTCATATTATTTTTGAGTTGCTTTTTAACGACGCGTGTAGGTACTTCTTCTATGCCCTGGAAGTCTAGACCCTCACCGAATACGTCCTGGTTCATACTAAGAAACTCATCGAGGGTAATCGCTGATTTCTTTGACTTTTTATGTTTTTTATGTTTCTTTGGTTTCACAGGACTACTTTCTTCTTCATCGGCATGGTCCATCGCTAATTCTAAGAACTTTTCCTGAAATGTCGAAAGTAAGCTATAATTAGAAACGAATAAAGTAATTTTAGCTACCACTTATTCAAATACATATATATATTTTGAAGTGTATTATGATAAAACTATAGAATTAAATAAATACTTACAATGCCCACAGCATTCATAGTTGATTCAGGATCATCTGTATCTGGGTTATCATTTAAGTTTTCTACCTTTTCTATTATAGGTGGGACTGTTTCCAGGGAGAAATCCAGTAATTCCATGAACCTGTAATAAAACAACAATCATGCAAATAAATATAAAATAGATTGTAAAACCAGTTTCAGCCACTTATTGTTATTTGTCGCATTGGTGGTGGTGGAAAGTAGTCTATCAATCAGGTCCAATTTCATATAGGGAATTTTGTAAAGCGAAAACTCAATACTTTTGCACAACCTGGAGACTAAAACTAAGTTTACATCATGCTTGGCAGCCAAACACCATTCATAACAATATGTCATACCTATATCATCACCGAAAGAGTAGACAAAGGTGCAGATATACACTTTGGAGCAAAGAAAAGGAGCTAGTGTTATTTTTTTTTTTTTCATTTTATCGCACCATGTATAACCCACCATACATAAGCACCAAATATATAAATCTGAGAATGGTGAAAGAAGAAATAGAGACTTACACCATGAACTACCAAATAAGACTTGACCAACACATTACTCAGCTTGCTGCAGAACTGCAGAGAGTGGGCAGTCTAAGATAAACAGAAAGAAACAGTATACCAGACCTAGCAACAAGAGTTGCCGACAAAAGATGAGAATGGTACCACTGGGGACACATCTCAGCTAATCCACTTCCACAGACGAAAATCTCGACAATCAAATTAGATTATTGTTTCTGTAAAAACAGATTGCTAAGTCGCACGATAGCAAAAAAAATTATTGCACCCTCTATAACATTAAAAACGAAAAAAACGCCAGTGATTCTTTGCTCCCAAGTGTATATACAATGGAAACCCATTATTCACCAATAAGTGGTGAGATAATGCCCGAACGCCATCCTACTACATATAAAAAAGTGTATTATAGTGTCCTATTGCCATATGTAGCGTCAGTACTATTACAGGGAAGTTTCCGAAACGACACGGGAATCGATCCCTTGCTGCTATTTGACCAACGCCGCAGACACCAAACAACCAGTAAAAATGTAATTTTTTTCTAGTCAAGACAGTGAAGCTTCGAAATAACTATAATCAGTTAAAAAAATAATATACAAAATAAGTACTTAATTACTTACGCAGGATTATAAATGCTATACATATCATCAGTGGTATGGAAAGTGAGGTGTATTTCATATGCATCCAGATGGTAGAATACTGCATCACATGCTGGACATTTTAATACTTCATCTGGACTCTGGTTCTCATCTCCATGCTCATCTGTCATGTGTTTCTATAAACAATTCAGGTATTTTATATATTAGATACAAATAGTATATGATAAGTTTGTTTCTCTGGTTAAATATGCAAATCCTTTTATTGGAATTTAAACTCTTTTTGTGTTGGATACTCTCTATAGGATATAAAACTCCATGCAGTAACCAATAGCCTATAAACATTAATTTAAAAAATATATATGTATATCTATGCTACATTATGGTGTCCACATTATTTATCTTGCATGATGCTATCCAATGGCACTTAATGTGTGATTGCTTACTTTTCATATTTATTTTAAGACATAGACAGTAATGTATATTAAATCATATTATAATTTGATAATGCCATTAATGTGCTTATGATTAGGTTTAAGATTTCAAAGGTAAAATTATGCATGTGTTGCACAGAAATAGGCTTATCACCATGTATTTTATAGGACTGATAACATAGGAAGCATGCAAACTAATACATGGACATTTTGAAAGAGAAATTCTATGTTGGTAGTCACACGGGTTATTTCTAAAGTATTTAGAAACTAGCTTTTACCCGCGGCTTCGCTCGCGTCACAAAAGGATAAAAAGTAGTCTATGTGACTATCGATCCCTTCAACTACCTTCAGTTAAAAAATCACGTTAATTTGTATCTCCGTTCTGCCGTTTAAGACAGGCAAACAAACAAATAGCTTTCCGCTCGCTTGGAATTCGGTTATGTCGCGCTATTTAGATTTTTCCAATAAGTAGGTATTCGTTAACTGGTTTTAAATAACATACAGCGCCATCTATACCAATACACGCATTTCTCCGGGATAAAAAGTACCCTATTATTTAATCCAGACTGCTAACTATGTCTGCAAAATTTCAAAGCAATCGGTTTAGTAGTTACGGCATGAAAGCAGAACAAGCTCACTTTCCGATTTATAATAAAGTAAGGAAGTAAGGATTAATACATATAGTGTGTACAAGAATACTTACAAACAGATTGACTTTATTTTCATACTCTTCACCACAGAAAGGACAGTAATATAGTGGAATGATGACCTGAAAATTACATATAAATATATTCATGATATTCACTTTTATTAACATAACATCACGCCTATCCCCGAAGGGGTAGGCAGAGGTGCACATTATACCACTGTACAATGTAACACCCACTTTTCACTATTTATGTTACGAGTCCCATGTAATAGGGGGTGAGCCTATTGCCATATATCGGGCACAATTCCAGACTCTACTGAGAATATTTAAAAACCCAGTAATACTTTGCCCGACCCGGGAATCGAACCCGAGACCCCTTGCCCGGCAGTCGCACTTACGATCACCCGGTCACTTTTATTCTCAACAAAAAAAAAAATATTTTTATTACCTGAGAATAGGTTTTGATTTTCTTAGACTGTCCAATGTCTGGCATGTCAGTATCTGACCGATGAAAGAATTTGTTGTGGTTTAACATTGCAGAGGCAATGAAGAAATCTACATTACAGCAGTCACAATGAAAGCGTTTTTCATCTGTGCTCTCCTCCTCACCTCCGTGAGTTGTCCGTACATGGACATTATATAAATGCTGTAAACATTTAAAATATTTAAAACATCAGCACAAAACTTGGTAAGATGAATATTAAGATAGCATACTAAAAAGATACATACATGCAAAAAGCCAGGTATCCAGTTGACAAAATGAGCTAATAGGTATATGAATCCTCTATTGTTAGGTCATGATCACTAGCCAAATTTTTGTATTTAAAGATTGTATGGTGGTGATAATGGATACAATAAACAACTGTCAAACTGATAAAAATGATAAGCAAACAAAAGTAGTGGGGAGGGGGCACAGGTCGTCCTGCAAATAAAGCAAACACGCGAGCGACGCCGGCTCCCGGGATACTGCCTTACCTTCAATGTAAATAGTTTACCGCACCAAGGGCAGAAGTACTTCGCATCGTGATCTGGGTGCACCTTGTGCTTGTGAGTTATAGCCTTGGATATTGTCGGAAACACTTGGGAACACACGTCACAGGTAACCAACTCTGTCTTGTCTTTAGATTTCTGGTCAGCCCCTTGTACAGGTATTTCAAAACGCTTTTTATACTGTGGGTCACCGTGTTTCCTAAATTTAAATCCAATTTTAGTTAGAAAGTATTGAAAGATATGTATCGTTTTTGTAACAGAAAATTAGGTTACCTGAAATGTTCTTGCAAATCTTCCTTATTGTCGAAAGTATCTTTGCAAAATAAACAATTAAATTCCTTTTTTGTATTCATGGTTTTCACTGAACTGAAACAAATTCTTCAGCCAAAGCACAATATTATTACTTCAAATCACATTTGTCATTTCTTATTTGAATATTTTACCACTTTAGATACACGCACAACACTGATTATAAACAATACTAAGTTTATTTCATGTACTATTATACCACAGGTGTGGCATAATGATATAAATTTAACATTTTATAATGTTTAAAACTGTCGCTTTACCCAAACAATAAGTAGGCCATTTTGTATTTATTTATTTCATTCTTTGCTATTCCGTCCCACTCCGGTATCAAAGTAAAATTAGGGACGCGACATGACACTTTATCGATATTATGCAATTTTCGTAGTCGATTATTCGACCACCACTTGTCTATGGTACTTACTAAACTAGCCGTGGCTAATAATTTTCCAGACAAAAAAAGTAAATAAAATTAATTAATTGGTGTCATTGTATAAATTAGTCCGTAGACAATTTGTAAATTAGCTAAAAACTTTCAATGTCTAACATGAAATGAAAATAACTTTAGCTTAAGACAAAATAAATCCAAATGAAAGGACATAGAACGTTAATTAATTAGGTACATAGTGAGAAGTTTGCATGTATTGCTAAGCACGTAAGCACGAGGTACGTTTATGTCGTTTGTATAAAACAAGTTATTTATTCATTTTGCAAATGCTAAGCACAAGGCTTCATGTTGTTTAATTTTGTTGTTATATATTTAGTTATGTTGTTTAATGTCTGAATGCAGCAAAACAAAACTTGTAGGCAAAAACATGCGGAATCTGGAATTATTATTGTTTATTTTCTTTAATAATTATTTTCTGGTTGTTGATTCGCTATTTATAATAATGGCATAATGAATGTAAATCTTTTGAATCTCATACAGTAATCAATATGAGGGATGCCTTTTAAGTTTGGTCGTTTAGAGAAAAAAACACACATAGAACCGTATAGTACTTTTTAAGTTTTTAGTCTTTTTCAAACTATTCACCACGTAGCTTAACTCGTCGAGTACCGGTTTTATAGACACAATTAAAGAACAATAGGTCGCGGTCACCGGTGACCGCTTGGTATTTGACAGTTTAATCCACTTTTCCATTCGCTCAAACCAATTATTAAAACATTTATTTCACTCTAAAGGCTAACTTGAAAGCGTCGACTGCTTTTTCACCGGAATGAAACCTTTGACCACAAATACTTTTCTTAATTTTAAGAAATATAAAGAAATTGTTAGAGCTTACGTTAGGACTGTTTGGGGGATGACGAAGAATTTCTGCTTTTTCCTGCTTCAAATACTCAATCGTTTGACGAGCGTTGTGTGAGCTTGTGTTGTCGTGGTGCAGGATGATGCGTCGCTTTGAGTTAGATTTTCAAAGTTCGGCGATGACTTGTTGTAAGCAAACTGTGGTATTCCACTCTTCATTAACTATTCTACAGTCTTCACGTGGCCTTCTTCTTTAAAGTGCTTCGAGAACGAACAACTTTAGTCGGCTTTGGCTCGTCTTGAAAGACCCAGGTTTTGGATTGTTGTTTGGAATCAGGTTCGTTGGCATAGATCCAAGATTCGTCACTACTGACGATATCGTAGACATGATTTGATTCTCTTCGGTTGAACCTTTGCAGAGTTTTCTTACACCATCTGATGCGGGCCGCCTTGTGATCGTCGGAAAGTAGTAACTAGTTGTGGTATCCAACGGCAAACTGGGTTTCTCACACCAAGCGCTTCTAGCAAGATCTTCTAAACGTTTGTCCACGAGATCCATAATATAGCCTCTATCTTCTGATACGTCACATGACGATCTTCGAGAATTTGTCCTTTGCCAGATTTGTCACAAATATTAGTATGTCCACGCTGGAATTCTAAATACCAGTATTCAACAGTTCACAGGCTTCATCATCGACCACAGATATTGGCTCTTCTAAACTTGTAGATAATTATTGCACGAACATTTTCCTTAGAATGATTCATTTTCGTACACAACCTGACAGATTCCAATCGATGCGGTAACTAAACACTATCATTAATCGTAACTCTCCACTTCAACTCTCTCGTACTTTCCACTATATTGAGATTCAAAATTTATACGTATTCGAATATAGAAAAGTTCCAAATTCAAAATTGCCGGGAAATATGGAAAAGACAGAACGTCTTGTAGAATTACTTCTTCTTTATCTAACTTTTTGCCTTTTAATACATAGCTTAAACGGTTAAACCACTTATTATTATTTAATCATGACACTTATAATTCACAAAATCTTTTTTCAGTTTTAACAAAATATTAGCAAAATGCTCAAAAAAATGGTACCGACGTATAATTTTGCTAAACGGTTGTATTCTACAGCTACTGGCAAAGTGAAAGCACAAAAATATGTGCTCACGAAGTATTTTCAAGGGGAACCGAAGAAATCTGATTTTAAAATTGTCGAAGAGGAACTTCCAGAGTTAAAAGAAGGGGGTATGTATGTATTTATTAACATATTCAAATTATGTTCTAGATCCCTCTTTAGCACATTTCTTGAATAATTAGGTATGTGGATTTCAATAATTTTTATTTATCCTTTACACTAGTTACACTTACAACTTGGCAAAAAAGAGTTTGAAAATTATTGAGGTCGCTAGTATCGTACCTATGGCAACCTTACAACCTGGTACGCTACGACTCAACCGGTTTTGATATTTGTATTATTTATTATATTATTTTTATCGAGTAAAAAAGAGGAGGTACTATGTTTCGATGACTTTATTCATGGGATATGACCCGGAGTGGGTGATTCAGTCAAAATCAATAATGTTTTTTTTATTGCATAAGCCGGTAAACGAGCAGACGGATCACCTGATGGTAAGCAATCGTCGCCCAAGGACACCTGGAACACCAGAGGCGTTACAAGTGCGTTACCGGCTTTTGGGGGATTAGGAGTTTGAGAATCGTTGGGGAGTCAGGGATTGGGGAGATTGGGGGAAGAGAAGGGTAATTGGGCCTCCGGTAAGCTCACTCACACGACGAAACACAACGCAAGCGTTGCTTCACGTCGGTTTTCTTTGAGGCCGTGGTATCACTCCGGTCGAGCCGGCCCATTCGTGCCGAAGCAGTTTCAGCTGTCATCGCGTCAAACTCTTTGTTGCCAAGCTATAGAGGTATAAGTATAGCCATATAACGCTGAAGAGTTTACAAGGGTGGCGGACTCATTTCGGGCACCTGTTCCGATCTTTTAGTGTTGAATCGTGGTTGAATCACTTCGTGATTTCCACATGCAGATCATAAAATATCACGCTACGCCCTATGCTCGGGATTAATTAATTTTATAAGATCCAAAAATTTCCATTCGTGAATTTACGAAAAGATAACTCAGGTACCTATGGATTTATATAGTTTTTAACATAGTTGTAATTTAATCATAACTTTATATTTTTGTAGAAGTACTGGCGGAGGCTGAATATCTAAGCGTTGACCCTTACATGAGAGCTTATATGATAGGCTATAAATTGCCTACTGATATGATTGGTGGACAAGTTGCAAAGTGGGTTTCTAGTCGATTTAGTATTTGTATGTGCAAACCACGTGTGACCATATGTCAAAGGTTTAACTAAGCGGTTTCTTATTTCAGAATTATATCGAGTCGGAACAAAAACTATGCTGTAGGAAAATATTTAGCTGGATCTTTTGGGTGGCGTACTCATACTATTGTAAAACCTGATGATTTTAATACTCCGGCAGGTTTCATACCTGTTACACTTCTACCTGATTTCGGGTCACACCCCGTGTCACTGGGCTTAGGCGTTCTTGGAATGCCCGGGTAAGTTAAGCTCAGCATTCACTCATGATTCGTGTTATATTTGTATTCTAATACATGACATTAGTAATTGTTGAATAGTGGACGTATTTGTGAACTTTCAAGCAAGAGGGACAGGCACCTCTTGGGGTATTAAAATGGAAAGATCTACATTATGATGATGACAACGAATATCATATGTTTATGTACGACGATCTATCGTTACAGAAATACAGCTTATTTCGGTGTAAAAGAGATATGTAAACCTAAACCCGGTGAAACGATTGTAATTACTGGCGGCGCTGGTGCTGTTGGATCACACGTGGGGCAAATTGGCAAAATATTGGGTAAAGTTTAAATAAATAGATTTTTAAATTACCGCGTTGTTCGTTTTTGTCTTAATGTTTTTTCCTTTTAGGTTGTCGTGTTGTTGGCTTTGCGGGAACCGATGAAAAGTGTGAATATTTGGAAAAGGAACTAGGCTTTGATCGGGCTTTCAACTACAAAACCGTAGATATCAGAGCTGCCCTTAAAGATGGTTGTCCTAAAAGAGTTGACTGTTACTTTGATAATGTGAGTTTTCAAAATTATCTATATTCGTTGGAGTAGTGGCTACAAATGAGTAGGTATACTGTTTTTGTTCACCAAATAGGGTGGACAACTAATTGTTATTCCAATGTCCGTCTGGTAGATCATTTTAAAGTATTCACACACAATATTCTAGCTGACAGACTAAATAGATTTTAATTTTCATATCCTATTGTCAAACTTACTGTAAATATACAAATGACTAACCACTTTTTATCATTGCTATTTTTTCATCAGGTCGGTGGCGAAATCAGTACGACTATAATGTCTCACATGAACAAATATGGAAGAGTCGCAGTTTGTGGTTCCATTTCGTCATATAATGATATGAAATTGCCAAAAGGTTTGTATTTAAAAAGTTTTTCTATATTTTCAGATTATTCAGAAGAATATTATTACTGTGCAATTAGCATAGACTGCCTCATTGGTCGAGTGGTTGCAAGTGCGACTGCCGGGCAAAGGGTGTCGGGTTCGATTCCCGACTCGGGCAAAGTATTACTGGGTTTTTTAAAAACCTCAGTAGTAGTACGGAGCCTTTGAATGTGCCCGGTATATGGCAATAGACTCACCCCCTATTACATGGGACTCATAGGTAACATAAATAGTGAAAAGTGGGTGTTACATTGTACAGTGGCATTAAGTGCCGTAATGTGCACCTCTGCCCACCCTTTCGGGGATTAAAGGCGTGATGATATAACAGCAAAATGTAAATTTAAATTACGGCGCCTTTTTCAGTAACAATTCTGCAACCTGCTATCGTCTTCAAGGAATTGAAAGTAGAAGGATTTCTCGTAAATCGGTGGACCGATCGATGGAATGAAGGAATCGAAGCAAATTTAAAATGGCTTAATGAGGGAAAATTAAAGTATCAAGAGAAAGTTTACCACGGTTTTGATAACATGGTAGATGCTCTCGTGGGTATGCTGAGAGGAGAGAATACAGGGAAAGCTGTCGTTAAAGTTAAATAATTAATTTAAATAAATAATTGTTAATTGTTGTTCAATTTACTAAAAAGCAATGTGCCATTCACTGTTTGTTTATAAATATTGTTTTCTTCAACTTGATTTTTTTTCTCATTTTTTATTTAAGTAGGTACCTACTCATTTTTCATTCAATCATTGCCATTTCGTTCCGTAGGTACCATAAAGTAAAATTAGGTCTCAAAACTAGACGACGACGAACGACAATATCGATTATATTTTGCAATGGTCTTAGTCGATTAAATTATTTAATGCTTAATTACGATGGTTCTTACTAAGTAGTTTTTAATTGCAATTTTAATGAGAAACCCACCGATTAAACTTAATTATAAACTAATTAGTAACATAACTAATTTCCCAGTATAAGTTAGTTCATTATACAGTCTTTTTATATGAAGTTTTTTATAAAGGGGTTTGATTAACGTATGATGGATAAAAGATTGTTGTATGTAGAGAAATATAGGTAATTTGGGTTATAAATAACAAAGAAATCCAAGGAGTTTTCAATGCTAAGCAGCAGTGCAGCACCATCTATTCTAAATAGAAGGAATAAGACTTGTGGTTGAAATGCAATTGTTGAGTACCTATGAGGTCTCAGGTTTTGAGCCTGGCTAATTTTTTATGTGAGTAGGTATTTTGAAATGTACACGATGATTATCTGATATAATAGCGAAATGAGGGTAAACGTATATCATATTCTTAAGTATATAAACCACAGAATTAATGCTTATACTTCCATTTTGTTATCGGAGTTCGGAGAGTAAAATAAGTTTTAAAAAAAATTAAGCAGTTTATAAGATTATACTACCTGCACACTACGTATTTCTTTAGTTTTAAACAAATTAGAAACTATCCGGTAATAAAATGTTCCACAAAATGGTTCCAACGTGTAATTTTGCCAGACGAATGTATTCAGCAGCTGCTGGAAAAGTTAAAGCACAGAAGTATGTCCTTACAAAGTATTTTCAAGGGGAACCGAAGAAATCTGATTTCAAAATTGTCGAAGAGGAACTTCCGGAGTTAAAAGAAGGGGGTATGTATTTATTAACATATTAAAATTATGTTCTGGAGTCAACTTTAGCACATTTCTTGACTAAATTGGGATTTCAACCAGAATCGACGTCACGCGATCAACTAACAAATGTGGGTACTTTTATGGTGTTTAATTTGAAAAGGTCTAATGTTAATTTGGTTATACCTGCCTTCAAACTAAGTAAGGCCTCATTTACGGAAACGTGGCACACATTTTCGTGCCTTCGTAAACCACACGAGGTTTGAGTCGACGGCTGTGTGACCAGCTATTAACGCATCCGTTAATTTGTGTGATGCTATACGTATGGCATAGCACTCACCCTGCAACTATACAGTGGGGGCCTAGTTACCAGAGATGGGCAATTTCTTTTTTGTCATGTCGGTACATACAACAAAAGTACGAATTACCCAGTACAAGAACTACGATTTGTCTGGGATGTAGACTGGACACAAATTGTAATTACATTATCTTTATTTGTAGAAGTACTGGCGGAGACTGAATATATAAGTGTAGACCCATACATGATGATATACATGAATAGCCGTAAACTACCTACGGATATGATCGGTGGACAAGTAGCAAAGTGAGTAAAATATTCTAATCACGACAACCGCGATTGGATGATCGAATTTTGGCTAGTGAGTACCTATCCTTAGGACCGAAGCTTTCTTGTTTTAATGTGGTGACTGTTTCTTATTCCAGAATTATATCGAGTCGGAACCAAAAATATCCTGTTGGGAAATACGTATCAGGATATTTCGGATGGCGCACACATGCTATTCTTAACCCTGATGCCCGTATTACTCAACCTGGTTTTGTACCAGTCACAGTTGTGCCTGATTTAGGAACACATTCTGTTTCCCTCAGTTTAGGAGTCCTCGGTATGCCAGGGTAAGTATATCTAAGTATTAAATTGTTAGGGCAAAAGATGCAGATAAAATGAGCCAGTTGCACTAGGCCTGTGGAGTAAATTAATTCTGGACTGTTAGCTTTAAGCATATGCGTTTATTAGATGCTTTAGCGACGTTCAGATTATTTATATATGACGAATATGTTACAGAAATACAGCATACTTCGGTATAAGAGAGATTATTAAGCCTAAACCTGGTCAGACAATTGTAATTTCTGGCGCAGGTGGTGATGTTGGATCACATGTGGGACAAATTGGCAAAATAGTGGGTAAGTTCAGTTTTTGAGATCCAATGCTAGACCACTATCCCACCCTAGTTTTCGGTATCAATATGGATATTGTTATAGAATAAAATTAGACATTTTTTTCACAAAAGTAATACAATTGACTTATGAGAAATATTTAACCGGTATTTATAACTAAATAGGTATAAAAGTTGTTTTGGTAGGTATTTGTAAAAAAATATAGTTTGACAATCCATTAGTTCAATAGTCGGTAGAAAGTAAAATATTGTGGGTGGAATGAAACATTATCAATTATTACTTAAGTTTACTAAATTTTCTTTTTCAGGTTGTCACGTTGTTGGCTTTGCGGGAAATGATGAAAAATGTGAATATTTAGAAAAAGAACTAGGCTTTGATCGCGCTTTTAACTATAAAACCGTCGACATCAGAGCTGCTCTTAGAGATAGTTGTCCTAAAAAAGTGGATTGTTACTTTGATAACGTAAGTTTTAATTGTATTCGATAATTATATTTGTTGAACTTAAAATAACTGTACTGTGTGAAAATACTACCTTCTATTACTACTTGTATCGATCTTTTTTGTTGAGTCGGTTAGCGAGACACTACTTACCTAAATTTAGTTCTGTGCTTCAGTGAATTCTGTGATGGGACGGACGAGGCAAAGCATTAATAATTATAAAATTATACTATTTATATTATTAAAACTTTCTTGTATGTAGGTGGGCGGTGAAATTAGTGCAACCATAATGGATCACATGAACAAATATGGAAGAGTCGGTGTCTGTGGCACTATTTCATCGTACAGTGAGGAGACACTACCAAAAGGTTTATATTTAACGTATTTCTATCTAATCTATTCATACTGCTAAATTGTTTTAGATCACCGATTTGATGACATTCGACAGCCATGTTTCGGCAAAAATTGTGTGATGTATGATCTCGATTTCTTAAAGACACTACCTAACTAATTTTTATGTAATCAATAAAAAATCAGAGGAGATTCTCAGGTTCTATAAGGAACTTGTTGGATAACATAACTTACGCTAACCTACCCTTTTTTACGCGTAACATTTTATTACTTTACATAATTTGTTACTAATTATAATAATTTGTTTCAGTAACGATTATGCAACCAGTAATCGTTTCCAAGGAATTGACAGTAGAAGGATTTAACGTAAACCGTTGGACCGATCGGTGGAATGAAGGAATCCTAAAGAATTTGAACTGGCTTAATGAAGGAAAATTAAAGTATCACGAGAAAGTGTACCATGGTTTTGACAACATGGTAGATGCTTTCGTGGGTATGCTGAGAGGAGATAATATAGGGAAGGCTGTCGTTAAAGTTAAATAATTAATTTTAATGTTTTTTATATTTAATAATTTATTGAAAAATAAGCTATGTGCTAGGCACTGTCTTATAATTAATAAATGTTATTTTCGTTAACTTGATTTTATTTATTTCAACAAACTAGGGTAGTCGGAAGCAAGGTTGGGACAAATCCTTTTTACGAGTTTTTTCAAATAATAATCCAGTACCTAACACGTAGTTTGGTATTGCGCCTGGTGTATGGCGATACCCACATTGTACATCAAAGGTACCTACATGGTATTCATAAACATGGTATAAAGGTTTTGTTGCATAGTTTAGGTACATACTTATATGACCCAGTATGCGAGTACCCCATTTCAAAACTATAATACAAGCGTGATCCTTAAACTGTCAAAAACCGCAAGGACACCGGTGACCGCAACCTATTGTTCTTTATTTGTGTCTATAATGACGGTACTCAAAGGGTATGGGTAAGGGTATAGTCTGGATTACATATTACAGTAGTCGATGGTGAGCTAAATATTCTGTTAGTCAATTCATTGATCAAATCAATTTAAAAAGTTAACATAAACAAAGACAACATTTCAAACGTCAAAAATTCAAAACAAAAACAACGTTACTATTGTGTGTCAATTTTATTTAGGTATTTGAAAACGGAATTGAGAGCAAGAAACTTTCCAAGTAGGTAAATACAGTTTTATTTAAAATAATAAATATAAAAAGTAAAAATGACTCTGTCGAAGGTTTTAGCAACATATTCAAAAAATTCTGGAAATTCCGTTTATGTACAGAGCTATGAATCTCCTGTCGGCAAAGCTATTGCAGCAGCTGACGAAGATTTTTTATACGCAGTAACTTTTGAGAATTCTAAAAACTTTGAAAAATGTTTCGAAACACTTGCCAAAGAACTTTCATGCAGTTTTATCGAAAGTGAGAACAAGATATTGAAGAGATTTGGAAAAGAACTATCTGACTACTTTGAAGGTAAATTAAAAAAGTTCACAGTGCCTACTCAAATGATTGGTTCAGAGTTTCAGAAGGTTTGTATATTTAATTTTCATTAATAAATTTATTTAGTTCAGTTGGTATTTATTAATCTGATATTGTGACTACAGTTCTAATTTACAGATAAAATTGGTATTGTATCAAATCCTATCTTACTGTATAATTATCCACCAGATTTGTTAGTAATTTATCCAAATATATCAATTGATAATAATTGTAATACCTATATTAATAAATTTTAATACTATTGTTACAGATTGTATGGGAGAAATTAATGGAACTGCCATATGGATCAACACAAACTTATGGTGATTTAGCAAAAGATTTGGGCCGTCCCTCAAGCCATTCCAGGGCCATCGGAGCAGCCTGTGGTGCAAACTCTTTACTAATAGTAGTGCCATGTCACAGACTTGTAGCTTCAGGATCCAAAGGAGGATATAATAGTGGAGTGGACCGCAAAGATAAACTCATTGAATTAGAAAAGACGTTTTCTGAATAATTATATTTTAAGTTTTTACTGAAAAGATATCAAACTACCTCAATCAAAGAATGTCTAGGATTGAAAAAGTGATGGAAAAGTAAAACTTGCCGTATTAAAAAAAGTTGTACCTACTTTACAATAATATTTAGATAGATACAACTGCAGGAAGGCAAAATAGTAAAATGCTTAGGCATAGTTCCAAGAACTAGCAACCTCTAACATATTATGCAACTTCCGTTCTGTGTATCCATACTAATATTATAAATGGTAAAGTGTGTCTGTCTATATGTTTGTCTTTCTTTCATGGCAAAACGGAGCGACGAATTGACGTGTTTTTTTAAGTGGAGATGGAGATAGTTGAAGGAATGGAGAGGCTACTTTTTGCCCCTTTCCAACACCCCACTTCCCTAAAATGGGGGTGGAAGTTTGTATGGAGTACTCTGCAATTTCCGAGGTAGGAAGCTAAAAATTGGTATACTGACTACCAAACAAATCACCCATCATTTATTTGTAACCCATACATCCTGCGGTCACCGGTGACCGCTCTCCACTAACTACATTATGGACCTTATTTCCAATATTTAGAGACTACTTTTGTATGAACAAATTTAAGGGATGAATTTCAACAGGTTAAATCTGCATTCAACCCCTTAAAGAGAGGGTAAAATTTTATATGGGACTTCTCAGTTTTCAAGGCAGGAAGCTAAAATCGGCACACAGACTATTTGTTACTAACAAAAATACCTGCCATTTTTTGGAAATCCTCACCCACCCCTCAAAATAGGGGATGGAAATATGTGTGAGACTCCCCAAAATTAGTACAGGTTCTAGCTACAATTTCCTCTTAAGCTTAGTTTTGCAATGACTATCAAACTGTCAAACACCGCGAGGACACCGGTGGCCGCAACCTATTGTTCTTTAATTGTGTCTATAATGACGGTACTCAAAGCGCAAGGACAAACATTAAAGGTGGCTGTATGTAGCATTTTCGCGTGTATCCAAGGCCCAGAATCTTTTTACTATAACGCCAAATAGAAAGCCATATAATATAGTGTACAGAATTTTACACATTATTTATTTTATTTTAACACACTACGTGTTAAAATAAAATAAATAATGTGTAAAATTCTGTTCAGAGTTCTCTTTTGTGTACATTACAAGAAAGGGCAACCGTGCTGCCCCGAATTTAACGCGAGCGAAGCCGCGGGCAAAAGCTATTTTGTCATGTTATAATATAATAAGTGCTATATCTGATTGTTTTTATTATAAGTGTTATCAACACATCAAGTACAAAATATGTATAAAATGTTCCAATACATACATACTAAAAACGTTACCTATATTTGTTTTTATTAAAACCTATAGTGATACTCACCAAGATTTGGATAAAGTGTATACTTGACCTGCAATAATAATCATAACATAGTGTCACGCGTTTTGATCTCCTAAGTGGTAGGCATAAACATACAATGTAATTAAAGGGGGGGGGGGGGTCGTTAACATGATTACAAACACCATGCCACTAGTACGAATTTCGGAAAGACTGAAATCACCTAATACTACTTTCAATATAATAACAATCTGTGCTCATGAGTACCTATATAGTATGCATTTTTCGGGACATTTCCGGTGCCTTTGATAACGCATGGTGGCCAATGTTACTCTTGAAAATGAAAGGTCGTGGCTGTTTTAGTAACATTATATAAACTGATATACACGTATTTCCTTCACGGTTCCTTAAACTAAAGCTTGGTCATTGTTCTCGGTTGAAGACGTAATCAATGGGATGTCCTCAGGGTTCGGTTATTTGGCCCGTATTTATAGAACTTAAGGTTTGATGATTTGCTCCCGATTCTCCTTCCTCCTTGTGGCTGTACTTTGACTGAATATGCGGATGGTGGTCTTTTGCTAGTACAGTCAAATACCCGCGGCGGGCTGGAGAATTTGGCTAAAGACTGTGTTTTTTTTGTACCAATGCCCACCTTGATAAATAAATAATCGGTGAAAAATTGTCTTTCCAATGTCAGTGTATACCTACCTAGGTGCCTACTGTATAACATTTTTCGGTATCTCGCTAGTATTGCCATATTACCTTATTAATATTAAGTGATAAACATCGATTATAAGTTGTCACTCTGATTAGGAGATTACAACACACGCCATGACCTTAATGTTATAGGTAGTTGAACATAAATATAATGTGCTAATAAAATAAAACAGTCTATAATCATTATTACTTTGTTTTAATGTTAAGTTCGCATGAATAAACCTGAAAACATAATTGACTAAATACCTAGGTTAAGGTTACTTTGGTCATTTGACATATATTTCATTCTATGTTCTACTTAGAGTACCTACCTATTAATTAATCTAAGATGGTCTACTTTCCGATTATATTTTTTTTATTTTACATAATGCGTAGGTACCTACCTACATAATAATATGTAAAAAAATATAATTAATTTACACTTTGTAGCAAAATAATAGTGTATGTTACTACCACAGAAGCAATAGAGACTAAAAGCGAATAATTTAGTGCGAAGAAATTAGACATGTTGAAGCATATGGGCCGGGCTTGTAGCAGCGTCCTTAAATCCAGTATGGCAGGTTTTAGATCTTCATCTGTTGAAGAAAATGATCATTTTACATCCATGTAGTTGGTCTAATCATAATAACTTACTTACAGAAAAATCGGCTTCGGGCTTAGTGCGAGTTGCACTTGATATGAGAGGTTCCGTATGTATTTAAAAGTAAGTATCAAAATAATAAAATATTACTAAAAATCATGCTTTTGTCAATAACATTGCAAGTAAAAATTAACATTAAGATAATATTTTAATAATTCTTTCATAAACAACGTTTAAAGAACCTAACTACAACACCCTCCTTTTTGAAGTCGGTTGATAACAAAACCCTTCTTCTAAGTGTAAAAAACTCTTTTTGAAAAACTGCATCAAAATCAGTTCAGCCAATCACGAGATAATTGTGCACAAACATACCCACATACATACATACATTATTATTTTGTGTCACAGGTACCTATAATGTATTAGATGAATACGTGTCTTAAGAAATCTTAACTTTACCTGGCCTTTTGTTTAATATAAGATGGTCGATCACATTGATGATGCGCTCTCTTTGTCTATAGGTTTGTTCACACTGATCTACTAAAGTAATTACAATTATAGCGCAGGTTACAAAACGCATTAAGCCCGTAAATCCCGGCAAATAATTGTAATTGTCACCGTAGTAAAGAGTCTTCTGTAAAGAAAATGAAACAGATTAGGATAACTTAAAACAGCGCGGCATGCATAGGGCAGAATATTAAGCCAAAGAATTTAAGAGGAGGTGGTCAAAAGGTTATGTCGTGGTGGCCGGGAGGTTTATGAAGCCCGCTTCTCATGCATGAGAGTTCGAAACTAACGGAAAGTACCAATGTGACTTTTCCGAGTTATACATATGTACCTAGGTACTTTCTAAGATTATTTAAACACCACTGACAAACGGTGAAGGAAAACATCGTAAGGAAACCTGAACTTATAATTTCTAATTATAAATTTGAAATCGCCAACTCGTATTGAGCAAGCCTGGAGATTAATGCTTAAACCTTTCCGTGCGTGAAGAGGCCTTTGGGCAACATTGGCCACTTATAGGCTGGTGGTGATGATAGAGCAGAAGTGGGAAGATGGTATGTGATCTGACAGAACCTCACATTCACCCAAGCGAATTTTGTACCCCTTGGTACAAAATTGGCGTCAAATATTACACGACGGAAAGGTAATCAGAAATTAAATAATAATTTAGGGAACAGAGAGTATAGTTCCCTAAGATCGGAAAAGGAGGATCCTCCGACCAGGCGAGGTGATCGTGCCTGGCGGGCTTTCTGCCCAACGGTTGTTCGTTGGGATTTTCTATCCGTGTTTATTCGCTTGTAAACTTTGCATGTGCGATGTAGGATTCTTGTGACGTCATCCGTTGACATGTGGCATGCGTCGCCACATCACTCCCTCCCAAGACCGGAGGTCGATCCCGCTGAGACGGCTGTCGATGCTTGAGATGAGCGGGGCCAGAGCCAGTGTAGAAAGTCCCTAGTTCCAGTGAGTCGGAACTGTGCCGCTGAGTGCCCAGTGAGTCGGGTGAGCGGTGCAGGGTGAAACTCCAGTGAGTCGAGAGATAGAGATGAGTTCGCAGGTCCCACGGTGAGTCGGGGAAGAGATGCTGCGAGGGTAGGTGCGTAGTGGCTGGCGTCTGCGTTGACGGGAGGAGATGTCCTTCAGAACCGTGTGCAGAAGTGCTGTGCCTAGACTAGACGCTGGTGAGGCCGTAGGGAAGAACCAGGCTGCACAACTTCGTTGCAGGTAATGGTGGTCCCTGATGAGGCCGAGGATGCTGGTTGGCTGCGACTTGGTTACCGCTCAGCGGAGAAGTGATGAATGAGAGGGATGGCGATACGGATGACGGTGCTGATCTGCTCCGTGAAGTGAAGGTTGCTTCCAATCACGTCGGGGTCACCACTTTAGGGAACAGAGAGTATAGTTCCCTAAGATCGGAAAAGGAGGATCCTCCGACCAGGCGAGGTGATCGTGCCTGGCGGGCTTTCTGCCCAACGGTTGTTCGTTGGGATTTTCTATCCGTGTTTATTCGCTTGTAAACTTTGCATGTGCGATGTAGGATTCTTGTGACGTCATCCGTTGACATGTGGCATGCGTCGCCACAATAAATTTTTTTTTTTTTTTAAGGGGGGAAAATCATCGAATGACTGCTCCCGCCTGGGTGAGGCGGAAGGGAGTGTCAGACTCTTACTGACTAAAAACCACCCCGTTCCTTCTCCTGCACGTCGAGCCGGAGCCCCGGTTACCCGTTAGGTTCTCCGCGACTCCGAATCGGCATCGGCCCTATTGGGCCCCATCTGTGGTGGTCTGATGGCTCTTTGAGGCGCGCGCGGAACGCTACGCGCCGTACGCTCGGAAATAATAATAATATAGGTATCTTATGACTAACCTGAGAACCGACGGTGATTCTGATTGCCAAATTCAATATTTTGACCATGTCTAGGAGTAGATTTAAAGTATTTAGCAGAACCTGAAAGTTTATGAACATATAGTTAGGGATTTTATTAGTAGAGACATTTTGCAATATTAGTGAATCAGGTGAATTTATTTCTGCAAATAGGCTATAAGCACATTTACATATTCATTTTATTACGCCAACGATGAGACCGATAGTATTAAATGCCTTAAAGTCAAGTTGATTCATTTGATTTAGGTAGGTACTCCTTATTAGTCCTTACTCTTTATATGGAAATGCGGAAGAGAGACATAATTCGATAACACAAGTTTCATGCACTGCATCAATAACGACAAGTAGGTTATAGTACTACGGCGGTGAGCCAAACAAATAACATAAGTTGAATTTGAGTTTGACAGCCTTCTTAAGTCTAGGAATGAGCATAAGCTACATTTTTAGACTGTTGTTACTTACCCTAAATCCGTACATTTTGTTAATGAACATCACTTGCTCTGTCAATAGAAGATAACACTTGCAAAGCCGCTTAATTTCATAACTATCCACCGGTCGAATTTTAGAGCTTTGAGGTGATGTCTCATCTTCGCAATACAGCCAATTTTTGTTGCGTACAGAATCTGTCAACATCCCAATCGGACACATTTCCGTACAAGTGTAGCAATTTTGAACAAAATTACTGATCATTCGAAGTCGAGCCTCTATTTGTATTACGTTGGCTATCAAGTCCAAAGTCGTCAGCATTTTAGTGTACAGAAACACAAATGAGATAATATGGACAAATGGAATCCACCATCCAAACGTTACGGCCCATGCTCCCATATCACCAAAAGAACTTAGAAACCAAATAATTGTAAAATACGTCATTATTTTAATAGTTTTTCTTCTCATCGCAGGATAACAGTTCGTGTCAAGGAAGTTATCCATTTTCTCGTACTGTTTGAAGTATTCCACGTACATGTGTCTTCCATATTTAAAAACGAAGTATAAATCGATGGCATATTGGCAGTTGTCTGCAATTATCTGAACCGTGTCTGTAAGTCTAATAGAAAGATCTAGCTTATAGTAAATATAGCGTATTTTGTATGCTAAGCAATAAAAACTCACAGAACCAAGAACCGACACTGCACAAACACTTCTAACGATAACGGACGACTTGGATCGTGTCGGATCTACATTACCGTTCAATGCGAAAATTTTTAAGATCCATATCAACGGTATCATTGACGTGTACGAATTATTTAACAAATAACCATTTTTGGGAACGTCACCGACCTTCATATTTGGTGATTATTTTTTATGAATTATTCGTGAAAATTTCTCCGCACTAACCGACACGCTAGCGAATTGAAACTGTTTCGTTTTATTAAGTTACTATGAAACGACAACGTTTACCAACATCAAACTAATGAACTGTATGAAATACCAATGTAGGTAATGGAAATAGCAATAGCTCCTATAAGTCAAGTGTACAAACAGTAGGTAAGTACGTTTGTATGTCTATTACATATTATTATGCCTTAGGGTAAATATTTTATTTAATTGACTTGTCTCGTATGCCTTCGTAGTTCCCGTATCTCCTCTTTTTAATTACATTATCTAAAATTGGGCGTTTTGGATGATAACAAATACTATGAAATGGTTCGTTTCTATACCTACCTAACGTGGACTAAAGACCTAATGACCTAAAATTAAGTGCGTATCATTTAAGAATCATACATATGAAACGAGGGAAACAGTAGCACAAACTAGTGAAGAAAGTTATTAAAGTGTGTTTCGTGAGTGTGTGCGGGGGCAATTTCGTAGCGTCCAAACGTTGTGATCAATTAACTGAAGGTAAACATAGGTCGGGTCCGCCCATAGATATAATAAAGAAGTCCGCCCATGTTATCAGAGACTCTCACTGCGTATTTCCGCCTTTTTAAGTGCCAATCAAAATATGTATTAACGTACCGACTCTGCAGTACTTAGTTTATTTAATACATAATCAATTAGAATCAAACATGTGATATCTGTCTATCAAGAAATGTTTGCAGTTATCAACATGAGGTATCTAAATGTTATTTACCTAATTGTTTATATTCCAAGCCACCACAGAATTAATTTAGCTAAGTACATACATGTCTGAACAAAGTGTTGTCTGTTGAGTAGTCGCAAACGGTACTACAAGTAAGGACGCTTGTGGTTCAAATCCCGATGCGAAAAGAGTATTATTACATTTTTAGATTTTTGTAAATTCTCAGTGAAATAAACTTACTTATATATAACATTACTGGTACGAAAGTATATAACATAATACATAATTTTATTTGTGCATAAATTATAAAGGTAGGTATCTAATAAAGCGCATGAACACGCCATGAAAATAGAATAGCACGAATCTAGTACCTACCTAAGTACTCACCATGGTAAGTAGGTATGTAGTTAGCTAGTTAATTATCTATTAGGTGTCTATCAGAATGTTTCCGTGCTTGAATTTTTAAATAAGGTTAAATTGATTTAACGCTCATGATCATTTAAATATTTACACTCGTGATGTCTATTATGTATTTATTGAGTATTAAAATACCAGAAAATACTTGATTGATATTTTTTTAGACTCCCTCGTTGGCCGATTGATGAACGGGTAAAGTACTACTGGGTTTTTAAAAAAAATTCTGCAGTACCACGGAGTCTGAAGTTGTGCCCGATATATGGCAATAGGGTCACCCCCTATTTTATGGGACTCATGACATAATTAGTGAAAAGTGGGTGTTACATTGTCCAGCGGCATAATATGCACCTCTGCCTATAAAAGGCGTGATGTTAAGTTATATTTTTCTAGTATGTTAATTTGAAATTAAGAGGGTATTTGTTTATATACCCTCTTAATTTCAATATGATTATATAGATTAACCCGCTACTTGCTAATGACATACAAATTATGATAAAGTGTTAGTAAATTACAGCTTACCTTTATGCTTGTAGAATTTATATGTTTAGTGTATGTAATTTCTTATAAGTAATGTAGGTACTATAAAAATGTATTGGAATAAAGTTTAGTGGGTAGATTAACGTCAGCCGATCAAATATATAAAAAAGATAGATATAGATAGTCGTGCCAATTATTATTACAATTTAATTCTCAGTGTAGGTAAACAATGTTTACAAAACATATTGCTAGGTAGGTAGCTAATCGCTAGTTCACCACTACCGTGACCACCACTTACTGGACCTCTACGTTCAATCCCAGTTTTAAAACTTAACTTTTAATTTTATTTTTTTTATATTTTTAAAATTGTTTCAAAGATCTTTAATTTTTTCCCAAAGTTGCATAAGGACTGTGATTTAAATGAGCCTTTTCATCTTCACCTTTTTTAAAGCTGACTTCAAAGACTTGTATCCATCTACAGATTTTATAAAAAATATGACCAACGTCAATCTTGTCTATGTACTCTATGTTTGACTGATAGCGGACTGACAGTTTGATGGAAGAGTGACGCAAGAAAGCAAATTTGGAATTTTTGGAAGCTGTATTTTTATTATTTTCGTTAGATTATGTTGAATTATTGAGTTCATTACTAAATTGAAATTTCATTTTAATCAATATTATGTTGTTATTGTATATCAAATGAAAAGTAGTTACAAATTAATTAAAGGTAAAATCTTTATGTAGTGTTGTTGTAAACATATTAAAATGAACAGTTATTTCATCCATTTGTGGTTATATTGCCGTCCAAAATAGAGTTAGTGCTGCGAGAATGATCAAATGTTTCATTAGACACATTAATAATAGTGAAGTTTATATACACAAATTCCAACAATAATAAAATTGTTGACTTTGTATAGGTATATGTTTCATTTTGTATGAATGTAAAATATAGAACAAATCTACAGATAAAATAGTTCTGAAATTTTGTAAGACCAGACAACAGTTTCAGTTTTAAATATGTTGCTAAATAAAATGTTTTTAATTGTATTACTTTTGTAATATATGATTTTTACAGACAATTATTTATTTCAGTACAATGGGAGGTTGTCGCTGTAGTTACCGTACGTGTTCATTGCGGACTGATGGGAAGACACACATGTTTCACTACCCCGTATTTGACAAAGTACGCTGTCATCAATGGATAACAAATGCACGGAAATTAGAATTTCTCAATTTGAAAGTGTCGCAGTTGAGGAACAGAGTTGTTTGTCAACATCATTTTAAAGATGAAAACTTTATGAACTTCAAGGTTTGTTTTTGCATTTATTCTTTCTGTGAGTTGATCAAAAGATATTAACCACTTAACGTTTTACAAACACTCTTTAATATTTTCATACAGGCTGATATTTTCCTAAGGAATGAATTGTTAGTTTAGTTGGGTTAATAAATACTAACTATAACCACACAATACACTTTAAAAGTCCTCATCCTATTTTATAGATGTCTAATATAAAAAAGATAATTAAGTTCTAGTTTGTAATTTAACTTAAATTGAATTAAGTTTTTTGTTTTCCAGAAAGACAAACTCACATTCGATGCAGTACCTACGGAAGATGGACCCTTCTGTGATCCAAGTGAGTCAGACAAAGCAAAGGCTGAACAAGATGAAAGCAAGGTGTTCAGCATATCTCTGGATGATATTGAAAATGAATATTTGACCATTGGTGACAAAAAAGCTAATTTTTCAGTGAAATATGGTGATTTCTTAACTAATTGTGAATTAATGGACTTAAATTCCTTAAATACAACCAACCAGGTAAAGGATAACAGTCAAATTGATTTAACTGATAACACTAAACTGGTACCAGTTATACCGAAAGATTTGGTTATTCCTAAGAAACCTGTAAAATGTGTGCAACCTCAGATACGCAAAAGTACCAGAGGAAAACAACTTAAGACTTTTGAGAAAAGTGTCCTAAATAATTCTAGTGTTAAGGAGAATATAATAAATCATGATTTGTTCCAAGATAATAGTACAATGCAACCCAATGTAATAGAATTTAGTAAACAAAGTGAAATACAACAATCAGACTTAGAAGGAAATGCTATAAACTTTACAATTAATGTGTCAGAAGTACCAGTTGAGTTCTCTACATCAGTATGTCAAGAAGAGAAACCTGATGAAACAAAGTTTAGCATCAATCATTTAAATCAAATACAATTGATTGAAGAAAAACTTGATGGACCAATTCATAAAGATAATCAGCCAGGTGAAACTAACCTTAATCATGAATCAAATAAAAATATCAAACAACTAGTAGCAGTTGAAGTGTTAAATAAACCAAATGAGACAAGCAATACCAACAGAAGTTTGCTTAAAGAAACTAAAAAAATAAAAATAATATCTGAAAAAAAGATAGTAAATGCTAAACCTATAGTTGGAAAACTAGAACCAGTGTCACCCACCAGAGTCTTAACATTTCCAAATAAAAGAAAAGTTTTTAATTCTAAGCCTACCCCTGGTATAGAATTAGTGGAAGTGTCAGTAGCGGAGGAGATACCAATGAGAGGAGAGAGAAACCCAGTTACTGAGACAAATTCATCAGCAGGTAACATTCTTGAAAAATTGAACAATAAGTCTGAAATTATTGATTTAAGTGAGGGTATAACAAACACCGAAGTACCGAAAACCATAATGATTAAAAACAGGAATGCCAATAATATAGCACCAACAACTTCATTGTTAAAGAATAAAATACCTCCAGAGAGAGTAGCAGCTATAGCAGAGAAACGAAAATTCAACATGAAATTACGAGATATAGTTGAAGACTGTTTAGACAAGTTAGATGAACCACAAAAAACTGATTACGAAAAGAGACCTACATTACAAGAAACCAGATTACTTCAAAGTAAAAAGCGACAAGTTGCATCTCATCTCTCTGAAGAATCACAACTACCTAACGTACAAGACTATACATTGGCTTTCCTAGAAGCTAGAATGAAGAAAATGGAAAATAATTTACTTAATAAGATAGAGGAAAATTCACAGAGAATATTGGAGTTAAAACAAGCATATGCACCATCTAGTTCTAAGAGATCTGTGCACACACAAACACAAGTTGGTGAAGATGTACATAAGAGACATTTGTATCAGGAACTATCTAAATATTTAAGCCAAGAAGCTAACAGTTTATTGTATGAAGAACTTTTTATAAATAAATATACTAAGGATATGCCTAAATGTACCTCTCCGAAACGACGGAAACGTAGGTGATGAATGTTGTTTGTTATGAATAAAATTAGCTAGCATAATATGATGTTGAAATACTTTAATTACATATTTATAATTATCTGATTTCAGAATTATTTCACTTTTACTAAACTTTTCCCAATATTGTCCCCTCTGAACAAACCAATGAACGCGTCGTCAGCTGATTCAAATCCATCGTAAATATGTTCTTTGTATTTAAGTTTTCCTTCTCGTACCCACTTTAAGTTTTGATTTATACCCTCGATTGTGCGGTCGGCAAATCTGTTTACTTGGAATCCTTCTATTTTCAGTTGTTTTCCAACAATATACCCTTGAACCATAGTTGCTGAAATACGAGATAAAATAAATTAAATAAATCGATTACATATTCAGAACACCTAGACAGTTATGACGGTGTGACTAGACAGTATAGCATCGTCCTATTGAACTATAATAGGTTCATAATTATACCTTTTCTTTTTTCGGGATCGGTTTCATTATAACCTGAAATAGCTCCACAGACTGCAACCCTGCCGTAGTTATTCATTTGCGACAAAACAGTGCTACTAATTTCTCCACCAACATTGTCGAAGTAACAATCTACACCTTTTGGAGCAGCCTCTTTAAGAAAATCTGCTAGATTTGTTGTTTTATAGTTGCCTGCGTAGTCGAATCCTAATTCTTTGACTAGCCATTCGCACTTATCGTCACTGCCAGCAAATCCAATAACTCTACATCCTGTAAAAATATACAAGTTAGATTTTTCTTTACCGAAACAGTCGCTGATTTTTTATAGAAAAGTAATTTATCTAATGTACCTAGAATCTTTGCAATTTGTCCAACATGTGAGCCGACTGCTCCCGCTGCACCCGAAACCACCACTGTTTCTCCAGCTTTAGGCTGACAGATCTCTTTGAAACCGAAGTAGGCTGTATTACTGTAATTAATAGACTCATGCAGGTACATACAATTACATACATTACGCTGATTAATCATAATTTATAGGTATAGTATAACATACCCTACTCTCCCACAAACACCAAGCGCTAGCGACACTGGCAGATCTCCAAAATCAGGTAGTTTGTAAAGATACGGTTTTTGGCCACAGAACTTCTCATTTTCGGGCTTTGTAATCGTATGGGTTCTCCACCCAAAGTGCCCCATTACCCATGATCCTACTGGGTACTCGGAATTTCTGCTCTCTATCACCCTAAAAATATTGAAAAATTAAGAAATATCCAGTCGTAGTTTATGGTATCGCGAGGCACCTTTAGCTAATTAAATGAAAATTGCTCACTTAGCCACTTGACCACCAATCATATCACAAGGGAATGTTGCTCCAAGTTTCATTCGCTGATATGGATCCACGCTGATGAATGCTGCTTCAGCAAGAAATTCTAGAAGATGATCATAAGTAGGTATTATATCGGTACTTGCTTAGGGTCTTTAAACTACATAGTTATTCAGTCAGTGTTGTAGGTAGGCAGTTTACAAGTTAATATAAACAACACTTACCATTTTCCGCAATTTCAGGAAGAACTTCTTCTACAATTTTGAAATTACTTTTATTAGGTTCTCCTACAAAAGGAGTTTGTACAACGTATTTCCTTGATAGCACCATTGTCACTTCTTGCTTGTTTTTTAGTTTAGATAGTTATTTAATTTAGTAGCGGTTAATGAAATAACAATAAAAAATTTCACAATTTTGCTAAATATTGTGACAAATCTTGTTTTCTCTATCATCTATCTATTTATCTGGAAGTTGTAGTTTTATTTGCGAAGTCGTTATCACCAAAAGGTAGGTTAAGTAAATACAATAATACACTACATTACATCTGTATTTTCAATCTTATCTCTTTCCAATAGAATCACTTTTCCTTTCCTTAATTTTAATAACCTGTTGATCAGGATATCTCTGACTACAATTTTGATAATATGGAGCCTTGCTGGTAGATAGACAGTCGAAGTTGTTAGGCTAAGTAGGTAACAATATTATTGGAGAACACGTAAAAATCCTTAATAATGTTAGTCAAATAAAAACTTTGATGTACATAACCTTTTATTTACTTTTCCATAGACAATGCCGTATAAGTTATCTGCAGGCCTTTCATGTTTTTTTATCATCATTCATGACAATGGCGGGAATTCAAATCGTAGATTGTTAATTTTATGAAACAAATTCGATTTAATTAAAGTTATTGTTTCTTTTTATGTAAGAGTTCAGCGAAAGTGGTAATTTGCCTATTCATTTGATGTACCTAATATAGATAGCCAAGGTCTCCTATTGCAGCTACAAATAGTGACGGAGGATAACGTTATACGAATGTGACTTTGAATGTAAGCAGGTAGGTATTTATAATTTGTAGGCATGTCCAATATTTTTTTGTAGAATAACTTTACAATTTTGGGGTCACAATACCTTATGCTTGGGCTAGCAGGTAACAAAGAAATCCAAATACATAAAACAACGATCTTTGTATAACCACAGAATAACCCTATTACTGTTTATTCGCTAGGTGAGTTGCGAATGCTATTACGCTGTTGCGATCCTGCTACGCTACGATACAATGACCAACATTTTTTTTCTTTAATCATTGTTACGACAAGTACCTATGCGTAATACGTACCGTACGTATCTAAGTAGTATAATAGGTCCCTATATTTAGGTAAGTAAGTAATCTTACTATCTTACTATTGTTATAAATGCGAAAGTTTGTATGTTTCTCAATCAATAACGACTAACTGAAGGGATTGGGATGAAGTTTGAAACAGAGGTAGATTATGGTCTGTAATAACACTACTTTTTTATCCTACGGGAACGCAGGGCTACTGGCAGAAGATAGTATAGGTAAGTAGTGAAATTGTATTATGTACCTAATATGTATAGGTGCTTATAGGTACGACCCGATAAAAATAATAAAGGTAGCTTCCACCAGCTGATCTGGAATTCGTTGGACCTAATAATAATGTGTTCAGAACTGGACGTTTTGTGGCTGATATGATGAATATTATGATGGATGCATATAAGTTTAATAAATAGGTATTTATTTTTAAACAGTTTCTATGTAAAGTCTTACCTTAAGTATATGTCAGTTTGTGTTAGTATTTTTCGTAGGTATCGAGTAAATATACATCCTTCATACTAAGTAATTGTCTTTTACACTTTCAATTTATATTTATAGTCTACATTTTACCCATTATCATGAACTTTCAGACATGTGCTTGACAATTCCTTGACAGCATTATCATTATGTCTTTGGCTTCTGTGAAACTATAAATGCACCTCAAATTAGACTTTAATATTTATTTACACAGTACTACAGAAACACGACAGTAATATGAATTAAAACATTTATGTTTTGTTGTTAGATTAGGTAATTAATAAGTCGAAACATCAATCTGAAATGGGACATCGCCATAGCAAAAACACAAAGAAGAAGAAAGATATAAAGTATGTTTTAATGCTAACAATTACTTATACTTACTTATATTACCTAAGGTATTTAGAAACTACTCTGTTAATTTATATTTTTCTGATGATAGGACTATACTTATATCTAATTCATAGGCCTGCCTTATGGAAATTTCTTACCCAAGTCCCAAAAGTTAAGAAGCAATAGGTACATTACACAGGTGCCTAAATTATTTTAATATTAAGTATTTTCAGAGTATTTTAATATTATTATAAATTATTTTCAGAGAGAAAAAAGAAGTTAAATCAAAGTCGGTTGCACCATCTATTTCTTATTTTACTTTGGTACAGTCACATTTTTTACTTAATTCTCGTACATCGACATCAAATTATGACTACACACCTAAGTATACATAGATAGTACCTAAGTAGGTAGCTAATTTCATTAATATCACATTTCTATATGCTTTTTTTGGATGGTCAAACAATCTTCCTTTCAAGCCTCAAATTCCTCGTACCTAAATTGCTGTTTACAGTGTTCACTTATTTGTTCATATAGAATATCAAATTTTATGGTTTTTCCAGTACAGATTTTCGACAAAATTGGATAAATTTTTGATATCGATATCAATACTAGCCTCTTTAGTTGCTGGAGTCACACTGCCATACGCTATAACTTTAGTGGCGAATGTTTTTCAAAATATGATCACGTACGACAAGGCAGTGCAAGCAGGCACACAAGATGACGAATTGTTCCTTTCTCAAATGCACGAATTTGGTGTTACATACTCATGTGTTGGTGTTCTACTCTTCATTTGCGTGTATTTGGGATCTGCACTTATGAATGTTACGGCAATAAATCAGGTAAAATAGTCAATGGGTGTTCAAACTGTTGTGACTTTTATTGTATATTCTTCAATGCCAAACTAACGTCCTAACATGAAATGACACCACAGGTATTTAAAATCAGGGAAGAATATTTAACGGCAGCTTTAAATCAAGATTTTGCTTACTTTGATAAAAATCAAACAGGAGACTTTGCATCGAAAATGGCGGAGTAAGAAATACGATTACCTGATTTCCACATTTCGTACCACCTATAAAACTAACTTATTTTTTTTTTGTAGTGATGTAATAAAATTAGAAGAGGGCATTGGTGACAAGGTATCTTCCTTTACGTACAGTTTGACCACAGCTATTGGTTGCATCGTCATGGCTATGCTGAAAGGATGGAAGCTTGCGTTGCTCTGTTTGACAACTGCACCTGTGACGTTCATACTTGTAGGCATAACTGGGCGAGTATGTATCGATACACCAACGGCCGTAATTAATTGATCTTAATCCGAATTCCCTGGAATGATCTAAGGTTTTGCCAGAAACTCCGATTACGTAGGTTTGTACGGTCAAAGGTCAAAACCATGCCACCGTAAGACTACTATCGGTTGCGCTGCAGCGCTTATACACACATGCACACGCATATTTTTATCCGTGTGCGTACGCGTGTGTGTGTTTATGCGTACTCACGCGTTTTTATGCACATTAATATGAAGTTACTTACGCATTGCCGTGTGAACATCACTCACGGTGGCAGTGGACTTTTGACTGCATTGCACATGTAAGCGAACCCGTACATCAAAAGTCAAAAAAGTCAAAGTCAAAGCATTTATTTCAATTAAACCATAATTTGGTACTTTTGAAACGTCAAAAAATACAAAATAAATAATAGTCTGTCAGTCAATCCGCTGCAGGTGCTCATTCCAAAATGTAGATTCGAATGGAGAAGAACGAGCAAGAAACTCCATTCGTTACTCTTTTTAAAAAGGTATGTTCTACAATGTCTCTGGTACATATTTCAATACTGTACGCATATATAGGTAAGAACAATGCAAAGACACGCTTGACGCATTATACTAATTAGGTACTTACTAAAATAAAAAAAAAAAAATCTTATAGTCTAACATGGTGCTCAAATGCATACTGACAATCCATAGAAATAGTGCTTCTATACAAGAAAAATGAAACTCTTGTAAAGAAATGCTATGAATAAAGAGAGAAATGCTCGATGCTATAAGGAAACTAGATTGTCTACATTATAATTAAAGTATTAAATTACCTACTATTGGAATTTAACTACATTTTATTTTCGTACCCATTTGGTATTATATTATTATTAACTGGTCGTAGTCGTAGCCGTAATGTGTGACTGTTGAGCAAGAAGGCTTGGTTTCAATTTTCTAATCAAGCTTGATCATCAATGGGGCATGCAGCATAACTAATTCTCAATCAGATTGCAGATCGTCTATATAAAAAAGAAGCAGCAGAGACTGGTCGAGCTAGTTCCATTGCACAGGAGGTACTGAGCTCTATTCGGACAGTGTATTCTTTTAATGGACAGAAGAAAGAGTTAGAAAGGTATAAGAAACCTCTGGCTGCAGCTAAGAAGGTTTATATACAAAAGGGTAAGTAGGTAACGACTTTCCGAAAAGATTACGGTTGATTTATAACGTTATATAATTTGGGATTTTTGCCTTACAGAATTTTTCACAGGGCTCTCAATGGCATTCCTATTTTTCTGTATTTTCTGCTCCTACGCCTTATCATTCTATTTTGGAATTTACCTCGTAATTAATGACCCAGAAAACTATAACGCTGACGTTATGTTTTCGGTAAGAATTAATACTATTCTGTGATTGAAATACTACGTACCTAATGTAATATATTAAAAGGCTTAGTTAGACCTCTTTCTTTTCAGGTATTTTTTGGTATAATGACAGCTCTTGGAAACTTTGGTATTGTTGGATCTCTAGTACGGTCATTTGGTTTGGCTCGTGGTGCAGGGGCTCAGATATTTAATCTTTTGCAAAATGTTCCTACAATTAACCCTTTATTAGACAGAGGATTCAAACCGCACACAGCTGAAGGGACTATTGAATTGAAAAATGTGGTGTTCCAGTATCCATCTAGACCGGATGTGCCTGTTAGTTAAAATACATACATAACATCACGCCTATTATCCCCGAAGGTCCCGAATCCCCTGGTATATGGCAATAGGGGGTGAGCCTATTGCCATATACCAGGCACAATTCCAGACTCCGTGCTACTACTGAGATTTTTTAAAAACCCAGTAATACTTTGTGCTACCCGGGCATCGAATCCGAGACCCCTTGCCCGACAGTCGCACTTGCGACCACTAGGCCAACGAGGCAGTTAGTTAAAATATTATTTTAAAAAGCCCCATGTTGGTTTAATCTGCGTACTACAGAGATATTAATATTATATTTATGCTTCGTACAGAGATGGTAGCAGTATTTTTTATTTCCCTATTGTAGGTGCTAAAAGGTGTCAGTTTGACCGTGAAACGCGGGCAGTCTGTTGCTCTAGTCGGACATTCAGGATCTGGGAAGTCGACTATAATTCAGCTTATATCTCGATATTACGATGTGGTCAGTGGTAGTGTAAGTATTTACATAGATTAAGATGTAGTTTTAACCCGACTTTGTCAGGGAACCTAAGAATATAATAAAATTTCAAATATTAAAATAGAAATCATATACGTACCTACTAATATTATACATAGGTGCAAAAGTTTGCGACGATATATTTCTACCTACAACTGTTAAAACTACTAATTGGATCTATTATTTTGGCATGAAACGAATTACAGGCTGCTTTTTACGGTAGAAGCTACATAGCTGATGAATATAAAATCATAAAATTTTGTACGAAACAGGTGTGTGTGGATAATATAGACGTGCGTGAGCTATCAGTTCGATGGCTGCGGTCTCAGATTGGGCTGGTCAGACAAGAGCCGGTGCTCTTCAATAACACGGTCCGCGAAAACATTCGCTATGGACGTGAGGACGCTACTGATGCAGAGATACAAGCCGCTGCAGAGCAGGCAAACGCTCACTTTTTTATTATAAAACTTCCCAAGGTAAGTTCTGTTGGTGGAGCCGTTGCAATCATGATGTGTCAGTTGTACTGCTGGGTTGTTTGATTTCGATTCTTAGCCGACACGATGTTAGGTATCTTGCATTTGGCAAAAGGGCAACTGGCGAAAAGTCTTCAACTCATTGCATATTTGTTACAAGAGATACAAAATTTGGCTCAATGACTTAGAAGGTTCACTTTTATTTGAAGGCTAAGGTTCACTTTTAGGGTTCGGGATGACTCTTTACGAAATTTATTGTATCAGGGCTACGATACGCTGGTAGGAGAGCGTGGTGCGTCATTGTCCGGTGGGCAGAAGCAACGCATCGCGATAGCTCGCGCTCTGGTCCGTAAACCTCGACTGTTGCTGCTGGACGAGGCCACAAGTGCGCTAGACACCGCCTCCGAAGCAAAAGTGCAGCTTGCACTCGATAAGGTTTCCTCAATTTTTTTTCTATCTATTGGTTTATCTCCTAAAGTAGAGTACTTTACAGGACAATGCCCTAAATTCTAAATTCTTGTTACCTACTACTAGGTACTATATACAGGGTGACTTGTAACTCGACGTATTTCTATCGGGAGGTGATAATAAACTAATATAATTTTTTTAAGCCAAATGCTGTTTTCTATTTGCCAAATTAGTGACTCAAAACAAAATTTGATACTAATTTACTTGCTATTGATGAAACAAACGATGTTTCTGAAAGTATTAGTATTAATAAATGTGTATTGATGTATTGACAACCAATTAAAACTAAAAGCACTTAAATCAAACCAGTAGTTTTTTATTTATAGATGTTTTTGTAGTTCAATCGGGATTTTTTCACCAAAACCAAAAATGTTGAATATCTCAGAAGCTAGCCACTTTCGGACCAGAGACCTCAGGGCTAATTTTGTAGGAAATTAGTTGTATTATGTACCTCCCGAAAGGAATACGTCGAGTTACAAGTCACCCTATGTAGGTAGTAAAAGTCTGGCAAATGTCTGGATTCCTATTGAAATTCCTATTAAGTTAATAAATAAAATCATTAGAGAATTATGTACTCTAACCATTTAAAGTCTGACTGTAAAGCAAGAGAAACAGATATCGCAGCGCATAAAATTGAAATATTAATTCAAAATTCATTTGTAAAAACGGATATTCGAAACTGACAGGCTGCGGAAGGTCGGACGACGCTGGTGGTTGCTCACAGGCTGTCTACAATCCGACATGTAGGTCTTATATACGTATTCCAAGACGGAGAAGTAGTGGAGAGTGGCACCCACGAGGAGCTCATGGCAAACAAAGGGCATTACTATGAGATGGTGTCAATACAAGAACCAGATAATCTTGCTGCTAGAGAAGGTCAGGCTACTAGCAGTTTCATCTTTGTCTTTTGTTGTATTTAGATAGTATTAGATAACTTTGGTTATTTATTTTGGTTAAGAATTTATTTTGTGCTGTTTTTGTTTCTTTTGTTGTGCTGAAACAAAATCTAATTAGATATCTTATGTCCTAAAAGACTTTTTACATATGTCTAAAAATATTTAAGTGCTTTTCTTTGCATAGAACAAACTGTATTGAGAGAAGAATCTGGGGCATCAGAAGCCAGCAAAGAAGAACAAATGGTTGAAGTAAGTGAATTTCGTAAAATTGGCTTTAACTTTAGAAATTCATATTAGCACTTTAGAATTTAGTTTAAATTAAGCTACCCAAATTCCTTTATCGGTTTTCTGATTTTTCGTACCTATACGACCGCCTTTGTACATATTTCGTATATTGAGAACTGTAAAGAATTTCCTAGTGTCATTGCGCCATTCGGTGACCACAAAAACGATAGACCTTATTAACTTGAAAACTATCTTCACAGTTTGACAATAATAAACAATTCAGTATCTTTTTGATCATTATATTATTTATAAATATTTAAGCCGCTGGAAGAAGACGACTCGGACAAAGTGCCCCATATCTCATTCTGGCGCGTATTGGCTATGAAATCACAGGAATGGAAGTGGTTGCTGGCGGGTACTCTTTGTTCTATAGTCATTGGTTTCTCGATGCCACTCTTTATTCTGGTGTTTGGAGATTTATTTGGGGTACGTAACGATTTTCTATTAGATACTCTTAGGGGGTATCTTGGTAGACCTGTCGGTGACCGACAACCGAGAGGAGAGTGAGGAGACCAGCTTCACGTCTTTCGGTGATTTAATTCCGATCCCAAAGTCTTCTGCCAAATAAGGGGAATGGGGAAACCTCCCCGCCTAAAGTATAACAGTTTTGTTCAGCTATATGTAGATGCGTCTTCCAGATGATGATGATGATGATGATGATGATGATGTTCACTCTTCTGGTATTTATTTATTTAGTTTATATAGTAACTTATAAGGGGTTTTTATGACAACATGAATCAGTATCAACATGAGTCTACGAAAATCACTGTATTATTTTTTTTCAGTCTATGTCAGAATCAGATCCAAATAAATTAATGGACAAAGTAAAGAAAGTTTCCGTAATATGCATACTCATAGGAATACTTATGGGGACCTCAAATTTGATTGAAGTGAGTTTTTTGTCTAACACATCACACATTACGTAGGTACAAGTAATATCATTCCTAAGTTTATCATCGTTATGTACTTATACATGCCCGTGTAATTATTAAATAGATCTTGTTATTTATGATTTATTTTTTACTCTGGATTCGTTAACCATTGATAATACGAAAAAAAACCGCGTTTTACTTTAGTGTACCTAAAGCGAGCTTGAGTAAGATATTTTCACTGTAGGCAATATCGTTCGGCATCGCTGGCGCACACCTCACTGAAAGACTGCGGACACAGATGTTCGAGCACTTGCTTCAACAGCACATCGGATTTTTTGACGAGCGACGCAACTCAACCGGCGCTTTATGTGCCAAACTCTCTGCTGAGGCAGCTTATGTACAGGGTGTGAGTAATTGAAAATACCAAATAAAAGTGCAATATTTCTTCCTTTTCATAAGGGCCTGAGCAAATGAGGAACCCAAAGATCAAAGTCAGTGAAAATATATTTACTAAATTAAATATTCCTATGAGGTTCTTTGTTTGTGTTAGTCCATACGATTTGTAGGAGATCTAGTTTGTGAGACGACAAAAAAAAATAACCCAAGCATTTCATCTCATCTGGGCAGGCCTTAAGACTTAAAGTAGGCATTGATATCTACACGCAACTACGTCATTATATAATATCAGTAGTTGTAACCGAATATCTAAATACTTATACTCGGCGCGTCTCCGTTCCCAGGCAACAGGTCAGCGCATCGGTACATGTTTACAAGGTATCGGCTCGGTCGGGCTGGCGTTGGTGCTTGCCATGCTGTTTGAGTATCGCTTGGGACTGGTCGCGCTTTGCTTCTTGCCCCTCATTATCTTCGTCGTAGTCCAACAGATTAAAGCCACTAGAAGAGAATCTTATGGAAACGCTAAGGCTTTGGAAAGTAGCACTAAGGTGATATATTTTGAATTCTTAGGTTGGTATGATTTTAACAAAAAAATGAAAGACATTAACAATGTATTATTGATCAGATCGCGATAGAAGCGGTGTCGAATGTGCGCACGGTTGTGTGTCTCGGTCGGGAGCGTATGTTCGTCAGAGAGTACGTGAAACAACTGGCGCCAGCACTCGCCGACGCGAAGAGAGCCGCTCATTGTCGCGGCCTCGTCAACGGACTGTCGCGCTCTATATTTAACTTCATCAATGCTGCTTCACTTACATATGGAGGACATCTCATAGTTTCAGAAGGAGTTGCTTATAAAAATATTTTGATGTGAGTTGCATGTACGGTGGTTTTTTATGTAAAGCTAAAACGTTCGTATGTAGATACCTAGCTACCTAAATTAGGAGTGTAAATGTAAGTATTTTAATGTAAATTCAAATTAATGTAATGCCAAATTAACATTTCATTATCTTTATTTAGAAGCACTCCACTCAATACCTCGAAAATGTGTCGGGTGACATCATGTGGCTTTTTCTATTAGCATAAGTAGCAACCAAAAAGCTTTATACCCAGATTCATTCTACCTTAAGAATTTAGGGTGGTAACAGGCGAACAGAGGCTATTTACTTCCAGTCCAGGTCCAGTCTTCTAGTGAAAAGAGGACGTTGTAATAAATATATTTATTACAATATAAATATATTTATTACAAACGTCCTCTCCGAAAGATCCACTCATACTTCATTAAAATGTAATAAGAGAAATGAGGTTGACACCTAAGGTTAAAAATGATGTTATGTTTCAGAACCACCCAATCGTTGCAAATGGCGTCAGGTCAGGCGCAGAATGCGTTTACATTCACACCGGAGTTCGAGAAGGGTGTGAGTGCAGCCACTCGGATCACAGTTCTACTTGAATCCAAACCGGAAATAAGTGATCCAGCTACACCACTTGTCTCTCCTTTTGTAAGATCTTTTTATTATAAGATTGATTTGCTGGTCGAGAGGAGAGCGTCACTAGACCCTTATAGCTGGAGAGCCAGTGAACCCTGGGAGTAACGGTCTCCCTGTAAGATTAGAAATTTGTATACTTACAATTTATGGTATTCTAAGAGCAATAGCCATGACCTGGCAGGCGTCAGCCCTGCACGTCATCAGCCCCTTTATTTTTTGAACTGTTAAGTAAATTGGGTTTTAAAACTTGTTTCTGTAAATTTGAAAATTTAATAGGATAAAGTTTATTTATTTTACATCTTAAAAAAAAATTGACAGGTGATTACAATAAGCAGAAGTATATGACAGATCAATTAGAAAACGCACAGTTGATGCGGTAATTAATAAACTTTATCCTGTATACTTGAAATTTTTATATGTCTTCAAATAAACGTCTCAGAGTAAATATGTACAATGCCAGGCGGTTTTGAACAGCATAAGACCTTGACAGGCGAGGGGACAGCTGCTAAGAGCGTGCGAGAAGTGTCATGAAGATGGTACAATACATAAAACTCAGAAATCAGCAATGGTTGAAATTTTAAAGGCAAATTTTAAAGGCCTCTTCATGGTTTTGGCACGATAAATCATCATTTATATCGACAATCACAGAGTTATTATGGACACTATAAGTATGGCATTGTTTGTAATTTAAGTTCACTATGGTATTCCCGATAAACTCTATCATTTCATTTGTGCTCTAATGTGTAATTAAAAAATCTACGAAAGCTTCTTTAAAATGTATGTTACGAAGTTCTTTCATAAAATCAACTGGTCGAATTTGTTCTGCTCCGGTAATGAAATAATTTTTGTTTGGTACTTCTTGTCGTTTAGCTCGTTCATAAACTTTAATTGACGGCGAAAAGTATTGGTCGAAAATGATATCTACTCATGAGGAATGTGTAGCTGTTAGTAGCGACATAATATTTTTGGAAATACCACTAAATGTTTTGGGGATATTTTTTAATGTATGCAGTAAGAAGAATCCATCAAAAATCAAAAATGACAACATCAAAACGTCTTGGTACGTCTTCACAGTTGACATTTGCCTTTAAAATTTCAACCATTGCTGATTTCTGAGTTTTATGTATTGTACCATCTTCATGACACTTCTCGCACGCTCTTAGCAGCTGTCCCCTCGCCTGTCAAGGTCTTATGCTGTTCAAAACCGCCTGGCATTGTACATATTTACTCTGAGACGTTTATTTGAAGACATATAAAAATGTCAAGTACACAGGATAAAGTTTATTAATTACCTCATCAACTGTGCGTTTTCTAATTGATCTGTCATATACTTCTGCTTATTGTAATCACCTGTCAATTTTTTTTTAAGATGTACAATAAATAAACTTTATCCTATTAAAGGAGAATGGCAGGTTTGTATGGAAGTTTTGTACCGCTATAAAATTTTGTATTAGTCATTGTTTTAACCAAGTGAATAATCTGAACGATAGATATTTTTATTATGAAGTTTAGAAAAAAATTACATATTTTTAGAACTTGGGGTTCAAAAGTTATTTCACTTTGAAAATGTGCAAAAGGTATGTTAAGGTGGTACCACACTTGACATTGCGTAGTCGCTTCATTTGTCCAAATATTTGTAGACTACGTACAAATGGCGTCCAAATAGTATCTCTATATGTAATGGCGTGCAAATATATAGCAAACAAAGAAGAATAAATCCTCCAAACATGTTCTTTTTTGGTCGAACACAACAAATACGCAACGTCAAGTGTAGAGCCACCGTAAGCAAAATGTCTATTACAAATGACAGATGACAGTTAACTGAAAAATGTCAATGTGCTCTCATGTGGTTGTTTATTTACAAAAAACAAAAATCTAAAAATACTGCTCGCTACTCAAGTGACTATTACACTTTGTATTATTAGAAAGAAAGAAAGAAAGAAAAACCATTTATTTTGCTACGACACACAACAAGAATTTAGAAACCCAAAAAATAACCTATGGTGCGTCGCAGCGCAAAAGGCAATTAGGAATGATCCTGTTAATTCAGCAAGCATGATGCACCTATAGAGTTTTAAAGAGTATGCCTCACAATCTTTTTCATTTCTTAGGTGCCTACGAAAATGCAAATTCATAATGTAAGCGACTGTCATTGGGTAGAAGGCCTACATTTAGCAGTGGAAGTCTTGTGGCGGATATGATAAAACTAATGTCTCACTTCACCTTGAATCTTGCAGGTAGATAGTCTCAAGGGTCTCAAGTTAATTCGATTTAAACTTAGCTTAGCTCTTTGAGAAAGTATTTCTTCTGAAAACTGGTTGCTTAGCACGCATGTAAGGATTAATTTCTAATAAGTAAGTCAAATTAGTAGAATCATCAACATTTTCATCATTAAGTCTATAAGTGGCCACTGCTGACCGAAGCCTCTTCTCGCATGGAGGTTTGAGCATTAATCACCATACTAGCTCAATGTGGGTTGGTAATTCAAACTTATAATAAGAAATTATAAGCCCATGTTTCCTCACAATGTTTTCCTTCACCATTCGTCAGCGGTGTCTTTGTACTTTCTTAGATTATTGAATATACCAATAACTCGGAAAAAAGACACATTGGACAAAAGGTACTTTGCCATTGGTAGGTTTCGAACCCACACTCTCATGCATGAGAAGCGGGCTTCTTAAACCTCTGGGCCACCACATTACAACTAAAGAAAATGTAAAATGAAAATGAACATTTTTGGTACAAAACTAAAGCTATCTAAATTAAATATGGCATTTATTTTATAGATTGATTCTTAAAATCACTTTTATCAAGATGGAATATATAGTTACTTACTAGGTTAAAATAAAACAAATGTATTATTTTGAAATACTTTTATAGGTACAGCAGACATCAATTGCTGATATCTGTAAACAAGTAAGATAACTGTAAATAAAGTAAACAAAAGTACATTTTTTTCCTTTAGTTTTATATGTTATAATAATAAGTCTGATTCCCTATCTTAAAATGGAAAAGATAAAAATAAATATTTGATTACATTACTTCATTTTATAACATTTATTATAGTTATTCGTATAACACAGATCATAGGAGCTCAAACAGCATGCTAATTAATAAATTATAATTATAACATGAGTATAAACCTATTAGAAACCGCTTATATACTCCACATAGATACATAATTATGTAGGTACATTATATTGAGAATGCATACCTGTTGAAGCTTTGAGAGCCGAACAACATCGTCCGGCCTCATCTGTTCTACAAATGGCAATGTTAAAGTGAGGCTTAGTCCATGTTTACATAATACATTACTTCCTGATAGTGAACACTGTGAGGTGGTATGTCAGGTTGTGGTTTTATAGTTTCGACTCTTGTATGGTCTCTCAGTCAGTATGGAACATGATCTTCATCATGGGAAGTAAGCTAAAATAAGTAATATTATTAGAATATGATATTGACTTTAGATTACACTGTATATAGATAATAGTATGGTTAAATTATGCTTTATTACCTCTTGTGGCTGAATCCAATCAAATACTATATGAGCCAGTCTTTACTCCTGTTTGTTGGCGCCTTCAATTAAAACCCTGCGTCACCTTATCATTGCAATGAATCACCCATATACGACACAAACATGCCAGTGACCAATTTGTTTGCTGGACATACTTTCAGCAACATCCCGATACATTGCTAATTGCCAGCAAGCATTGCAAATATGGTCGGTAGGAGAGATCTAGAATAAAAAGAATAAAATGATACATTATGGGTAGATAACACTATGCGCCTTCTTTTATTCAGGAACATGGTGACTTTCGATATGTTATGGGTAAACTAGGTACTTACATCTCTAGGATAAGTCCACATTGGGATATTGTTGACCACGTCTAATTTTCACTCTCATTTTCTAGAGCATGCCGTCTCATGTGCGACAAACTCTGAATGCAATTAATACACTGTAAATTCATCATCGCGACAAATAACAACACACTGCACAAAATAATGTAAATAAGTGTCTTTTCGCAATTGTCACAACAATGATGCCAATAATACCAATTTGGGCTACGGAGGAACGGTTGCCAAACTCAACGTATCACCAGATGAATAAAATAACTTCAAATTCAACAAACACATCATAACATCGCATTTGAAACAAACAGCAATGCGCCAGTATTGACAAATTAATTGTCAATGTCATCAAGACAAATGCCAGTTCAACATTGCCATAATATTCAAGTTTATTAAAATGTTAATTATCATTAATAATCCATGTAAACGTAGATTTAGATTGGATGTAGATTTTTATATTTACTTATAAAAATGTTTGAAATGGAAAGGAAAATATTTCATTGATAGATATTAAAATAAATGAGTTTATGAAATAGCGAAATTCAATATGCTCTGATTTCATCTTTACGCATGGCAACTTTGTAAACGTCAATCGCGGTTCGTTTTACGTATAGTGGATTGCTTTTTATCATTATTGAATATCAGTTTTTCTAGGGTTTCCCAAGTTTTAAAAATCTATTAAATATGCTAACATAACGTACTTAGGAGGTTCTATAATGACCCAATTTTTTAATGACAAATCTTTTTTTAGCGAAGCGGTACAAAATCTGCCGTTCTCCTTTTCAAATTTACAGAAACAAGTTTTAAAACCCAATTTACTTAACAGTTCAAAAAATAAAGGGGCTGATGACGTGCAGGGCTGACGCCTGCCAGGTCATGGCTATTGCTCTTAGAATACCATAAATCGTAAGTATACACATTTCTAACCTTACAGGGAGACCGTTACTCCCAGGGTTCACTGGCTCTTGGACTATTATTCGAAACTACTGGTCGTGCATTGAATCTATTTAGTACCTATTTTTAACTTCTACATAAGTACATAATTATATGGGCATAGAATTGTGCTCGGTTTATGGTATGAAACTCATTTGCGTAACAATAAGTTTAACAAAGATGAGAAGAAGAGGCCTTTTGGCAGCAGGAAGAGTTACAGGCTGATGATGACTTCTATACACATTTGTAGTAATAAACATAACATCACGCCTTTTATGCAGTAGGCAGAGGTGCACATTACGGCACTTAATCGCAGTGTACGTATGAGTCCCATATTATAATACGGGTTGAGGTGAGGGCTATTGTCATATACCAGGCATAATTCCAGACTCCATGCTACTACTGAGATTTTTTCGTTTTAAAACCCAGTAATACTTTACCGGACCCCGGGAACCGATCTCGAGACCCCTTGCTCTGCAGTCGCACACGCGACCACTCGGCCAACGAGGCAGTCAGTTGTAGTAATGAAATATCTTATTTATATATTTGGTGTTCATAGAAATCCAAAGGCGAGGCGAGTTTAGAAGCGGTGCATTTCAGATATCCGACTAGACCTGGTGTTCATGTGCTACGAGGGTTGGACTTACAGGTATGCATGGGGCGAACTATTAAATAACATGAGTTCTACGTGCTTGTATTGACTAAAGGTAAAAAATGGATATAACAGATCAGCCAAGTCATTATGTACCTTTGTCAATTCGAACTTTTAAAGTGATCTCGATCGCTTTCTTGCCCGTCATTGGTCGCGATTATTCTCACAACCAATATGACATAGCGCGCCGCGATCTAGTTCATTTCGATCTTTTGAATTGAAATTTATAGAATAGCCTAGCTAAGCTCAATGAAGAATGCCTCGTTCGTAGTTGCAAGTCTATATTGCGACTACGGTTACCGGTTGAAACAAATAAGTACTGGGAACTCTCAGTTGTTCAGTACAGTATTTAATTTTATTGTCCTTTGTGTCGCTATAGGCTCAAATGACCCTCTTTTGACACCTAGACGGGAGTCTTTAAGTAGTTGGAGAAATGGCAGGACTTACAAGTGTTACGGTACAGAATGTGGAATCAGCATTATCTTCCTTCTATAGCTGAATATTTTCTTCTATATTCTTTTGTAGATAAAGAGAGGTAAAACAATCGCTTTAGTGGGACGTAGTGGATGTGGCAAGAGTACCGTCATCCAGCTTTTGCAAAGATACTACGATCCTGATTCCGGAGCCGTTGTGAGTTGATGCATGAACATTACACTTCATCATCGCTGATGATCAGTCCGATTTCGACGTTTACGTAAACATTTTTCGTGACTTTTCAAGTGTTTGGATGGTATTCCACTGTCGGGGTTGACTATGTCGGAGGCTCGAGCGTGTTTCGGGCTGGTGTCCCAGGAACCTGTGCTCTTTGACTACAGTATTGAGGAGAATATCGCGTATGGGGACTACATGCGCTCTCCGACTCATCAAGAAGTTATTGACGCCGCCAAGCAAGCTAACATACATAATTTTATCGTATCTCTACCACAGGTACGATCATGTCGTAATTAGTCTAATTAGTACAATGATCTAAGCATATTTCGTTGGTAGTTCAATCCTTAGGTGGAAAAGAGTTAAATATAAGACGTTTTCATTCAATATTCTCAGCACGAATAGAACGAAATCAGTCTTCCATAATAAGTTTATACCTCTATTGTATCTAAACTGGCGACCTATACCTACGGTCTTTGGGCTGTCTTCAAATTTAGTAAGTAGGTAGGTACCTTCCGTTTTTTGATGGCGGAAGGGAAAGTCGCGTGACATTTGAAGGTGAGTATAAGCTACGCAGCTTATTGGGGAGAAAGACTAGGATTATGGGATTTCAATGAAGTGAGAACACTTCATTAAAATCTTTAAGGCTCGGGTTGCTTATGGGCAGGCGTGTTCCATCGGAGGCGAGATAGAAATATTAAAAAAAAATCAATCTCCCCCATGGCCACCATCCACACCTATAGGTAATCTAGTTAAAGTAGATATACCCAAGGAATAATTTGTTATTTTCTGCTTCAAATGACCAGGGTTACGATACGAATATTGGTGCAAAAGGCATGCAGTTATCAGGTGGACAAAAACAGAGGGTGGCTATCGCCAGAGCGCTCATTCGACATCCACAAATCCTATTACTTGACGAAGCTACTAGTGCTTTGGACACTGAAAGTGAAAAGGTAAATAATGCTCCCACACGTTAAAACAATGTGTTTTTACACAGAGTACATACCTAAAATGTTCTCAACTATATTTTAACTCGTCGAGTACCGGTTTTATAGACACAATTAAAGAACAATAGGTCGCGGTCACCGGTGACCGCTTGGTGTTTGACAGTTTAAATTAATTATAGTGGTATTAGGACAAATTAGTTATGTCTAGGCTAAACTAAAATTGTATTTGGCCGGTCACATTCACACCAGTATGTGATGACTAATGATCTTCCTTAAAAAAGATTTTACTCCAAATGATAGGTAGTACAAGAAGCGTTAGACGCAGCTACTGCCGGACGTACTTGTATAACTATCGCGCATCGGTTAAGTACTATCCGTGATGCCGACCTAATCTGTGTGGTCAACAAGGGTCGCGTTGCTGAAGCGGGGACGCATCAACAGCTTCTCGACCTCAAAGGACTCTATTATGATCTCCATGTAAACGCAAAATAAACTATTATGATAAAACCTCGTTTTATTCTCACTCCATTGTATCAAAACAGTTGACTAAATAGATAGTTCAAGTGTGAATCCGTAACTGAAACTTTTTAGTAGGACAATCTCTACTGAGGTACAAACCAAAGAAACATTCTTTATGAATGGGTAAGCACAGCAAACTATTGTTTTTTAAATGTTTATTGTATGTAGGGTAGATACGTAAACAACAAAATTAAATAAATCTATTATACTTCAAACCTTTATTTCACATTTTCGCTAAAATATGTGTAATGTTGTGAAAGTTCAACTGAAACAAAAAGAAAAAGGTTCGTCATAAATTTAATTTTTACACACACAACTTACAAAAAATTCGTTTTTAAGTTGAGCAGTCGTAGTGTATTACGACTGCTCAATTTAAAAACGAATTTTTATTATTGTAGTATATTAGTCATTATTATTGTAATCTACTTTTATCAGCAACAATAATCGTCAGCGCAAAGAGGGCTAAGGGTTAAGGGGGGTAAAGGATATTATAATATTCATAATTACAATACATTAGAAAGAAAGGGTAAAAGGATTATAATCTTTTTCTTAACTTAAGTCGGTATACTTACGGTGTAGGGGCTAGCATAGCTGCGGCCGTTAGCTGTGATATAATGGAGCCGGCGACCACGTTTCCATAGTAGGCCTGCGCAGCTGCAGCCACGGAGCCTGCAGCGATGCCAGTGCTACTGAAACCCAACAACGGTGCCACTATAGGCGCCAACAGTCCTCCCGTACCATAGATTACGATGCCTCCGATAATATTCACGGCGATTGCTGCAAGCACCCCCATTGTGATCTGAAATTAATTACAAACAAAACTTTATTCTGCTGTAGGTTAATACAGCCGATTTTCAAGAGAAAGGTTACACACTTCAGATGTGGTCCCTTTGTCACGAGGAACCGGAATCCGAGTGGAATGGGTTAGGGAAACCGAGAGGAACTGTTAAAAATTGGAGGAGTGAATAATGCGTCAAAGTCAAAGAAAGCATTTATTTCAATTAAGTAATTAGGCACTTTTCAAACGTCAAAAATTGGATTATCCGTCCGTTTGTCTGTCAGTGAAGCTAGGCGCTCGTTCCAAAATTGTAGTTTTGAATGGTGAAAAACGAGCAAGAAACACCATCGTTACTCTTTTATAAAATATTTTTACAGACGCATTGATACTTATTAATGTATATGTGAGAAGGACGTAACGACAATACAACGTCATAATTTAATGGGGCTATAGAATCAACTCCTGAAATAAAATAAAAAGCTATGAATGGTTATTTCAAATATGGTGCCTATATATGTATGTACACCTACAATTATTTGAAATAACGCTACTATACCAATAAAACCTTTGATGAAGTTTTTCAAATACAAAGGAACAAAAAGAAGTGTTCTATATTGTATCTGTATTGTATTGGAATTGAGACTAATCCTTAGAGTACCTATTAAGTATTGAGTATTGAGTCTAGTGAAGCGGGACCAACATGCTGCCAAGCATTGTTATCTTCAATATTATCTGTCAGTTTATATTACGTTTTTTTATATATTTTATAGTATTTTGTATAGTTCGCAATTTATACATTTATGATTCAATAATATATTACCTATTTGGTAATTTATTATTACATTTGACACAACCCCATGAAGGATAAAAACAAACAAAAAGCAAAAACTAAAAAGCAAAAAATAAGTATGACCCGCTGATTACAAAAAAAAACTCATGTAAAATGATATAACTTAATGGTCAGCTTAATATTAGGAATCTGTTAAGGTTTCAATTAATAATTTTGTTTAGAACTTATGGCACCGAATTCTAACCTATCAGTACCTACTAATAATGGTTATTTTTTCCTTTGTTTTTTAATAAGGATATTTGTTTACAAATTCTCATATTTGTTGTAATTCTTCTACTGCTCACTACTAAAACCTAGGATTATCATTTTGCGAAATCGCGTAGTTTCGTACATAAACGGATCGATTTTTAACTGATAAGTTGAATAACCGAGTGTTTAGTTTAGTGGTATTACTACAACAACGATAGGAACAAAATGGCGACCATTGATGATTATTTATTAGGTACTAGCAACTAACATACTTGAAACATTTATTCCCATTTTTAATTAGCTTGCCTTGTTTCTTCGTTTGGGTTAAAATCAGAAGTACCTAATTGGAGTTTCTTTCCTTTCCTGACCAGAGATCAATTTGATTTTTGGTACACACTGTTATTCTTGACATAAAAAATGTACCTATATTCTAATACACTCAATACCTGTTCTTAATATAGATTTACGTGTACTAGACTCGATATATATTAGGAAAACCAATATTGTATCGTATCGTAGGTGCAAATATTAGGTATTTAAATAAGCGTAAAAGAACTACTACATTATATATTTATACTCTTTTAATATTCCTTTCACACACGTGTCAGATATACATATATGGATAGATCATACGAGGGCGTTGAAATTTTCTCAGATTCTCTCTCTCTTGTTTCAGTTACCTGACTATAGGAAGGGTATTGTTTATATGGTGTAACATATTTATAAGAAACCGGTTACCTAAGGCTAATATAAATAACATTACTCACCGTCACCAAGACAAAGGATATTGAGATAATACGACACTGAATAAAAACTGCACAAAGCACTAATGCACAACGCTATAAGCTAAGTACTGAAACAGCCCGCTCCCCACCCCTACTTTATATCGGTTGCGTGACGCTGACGCGGGACCTTCGGACCATAGACTAGAATAGCGTACCGTAAAAACGATACTAAAACACTGAAACTCCCTGTACACAGATGCACTCATCGATTGCATGAAGCTGCGGTATAGTATCGCAGTAGTATTTATAGATCAATACAATATACCTACGTCATCTTTATGAAGTACATAGTATTAGGAAGATAGGATCTAAACTTTTATTTTTAATATATATATTTTTTTTAAATATCTAAAATTTAATCGAACATTTATTTTAATTGGACCAACAAGTAACGATGCACAGTAAAAATATTTACCTTTTGTTATTCATGGTGGAGCTAAATCGATACAAAGTTATTGTTCCTATGGACATAAGGAGAAGAATTAGCAAGAAACATCATAGAGCCGCAAATATAGTAATCTGTAGTTCCAGAGATCAGTGCGTTCAAACGAACAAACTCTTCAGTATATACTTATTATTTTTTTCTATGTTGATTTTAGTGACGCCCATTTATCTCGTGTTGGTTGGTAATTATATAGATCGGGTATTTACCTCACACAAATTATCAATTACGTGTTAGGATACAAGATGTATTTAATATTTATATTTACATTATCAATTTGACTCATCCTTCTAATACTTATTATTATTATAAACGCAAAAGTGTGTAAATTTGTCTGTGTGTTTGTTACTCCTTCACATCAGAACGACTGAAGGGATTGGAACAACGATCTCCGGCCACCGTAAGCGCGGGCCTGCGGACGGCGAGCATGGGTGGCTCCCCGTCCGACCAGAAACAGACCCGAGCGTACGGCGCGTCGCGTTCCGCGCGCGCCTCAAAGAGCCATCAGACCACCACAGATGGGGCCCAATAGGGCCGATGCCGATTCGGAGTCGCGGAGAACCTAACGGGTAACCGGGGCTCCGGCTCGACGTGCAGGAGAAGGAACGGGGTGGTTTTTAGTCAGTAAAAGTCTGACACTCCCTTCCGCCTCACCCAGGCGGGAGCAGTCACTCGATGATTTTCCCCCCTTAAAAAAAAAATAAAATAAAAAGGGATTGGAGCAGGGGTAGATTTTGGTCTAGAATAAACCATAGGCTAGTTCTTATTCCACAGGACCGCAAGTGAAACGGCTGGCAAAAGTTAGTTATAAAATAAACCATAAGTACCTATGTGTAGGTACTTAAAAACTTGTTTACAGTAAAAAGTTCGCATCTGTTGGACTGTCAAGCGTCAATATCCTTTTTGGATGTATTTAACTATGGAAGGGATATTAATATCAATTAAGCAGGTCCGCCTTGGGGCTGTGTAAAAATCAAACTTTAGGTATTTATTTATTTAATCTTTAATGTACACAATTTTATTATGGCACATAAGGCGGACTTAATGCCATATGGCATTCTCTACCAGCCAACCTTAGGGTTTAAGAAGAAAATCTGCGAAAAATAAGGTACGGAGAATAAACTAACAGCAAAGAGAGAGAGAGAGAAAAAAATAAAAAGGTAATTATTAAATAATATAGTTATACATAAATATTACATAATAGTAAATAGTATATATATAGTCATATGCATAAAATATATAGGTATAAATACATACATAAATATATATCGACGAAGACCTAGACCTAGCTTTGCAGCGATTTTAAATAAAATTCATGAACCACATTGGTATATCACATTTACGATATTTGCTGGTTACCAGGTCTCCGGCTCGAAACTGGAGTTGGAACGGGGGTATCTCTTAAGTTATCATGAGTAGGTATCTAATTCTACACTAATCCTTTGCTTGTATTGTTAGATGTCTCGCGTAGGTACTACCTACATGCGCTTCAAAGAGCCACCACAGATGGGACCTAGTAGGGCTTAAGGATGGCTTAATGGGATACCGGGGCTCTGACCTGAAGCAGGGACAGGATACTTTTTAATCTTTAAGAGTCTGACACTCCCTCTCAGAGGGAGGAGTCGTTTCATGATTTTCCCCCAACAAAAAAGGATACTTTCAGGAAACTCAGAATCTTGAAAGGTACAAAGCATCGTCTTATGGCACGATGGAAAAATTGAAAATAGAACATTTTTTCCTCACAATTTTAACTTATAAGGACGCCCTATAGTGGACAATTCTAATCATTATGCAGTTTTATTTCATAATTCTATGAAAGAAATTGCATATTTTGCTATAATAAACTATAAAAGAATCTGAAAATCATCAAAGTCAAAGTCATAGTCAAAGCATTTATTTCAATTAAACCATAGTTTGATACTTTTTAAACGTCAACAAATACAAAATAAATATTAGTCTGTCAGTCAGTCCGTCAGTGAAGCTAGGTGATGCTAGGTGCTCATTCCAAAATGTAGATCTATAATGAATTAAATTAACCTATCACCTATTCATACTTTTACTAGATACAAATAAGTTTGATAAAAATGTTATGCGGAACCGTGAAAACGCGTGTTAACTTCTAATCTTTGCGATACAATTTGCAGGAACTCCCTCACCATAGACAATATTTTTACTTTTCAGAGAAACTTAAATTAGTATGTTGCGTGATGAATTGCGTTATGTTACTACAAATGTCTAATTATGTAATATCACTTTTGTTATTCCCTTTTTTATAATTTTGGTTACAGGCAGGTTTGATTGAGATTTTTCAAGTGAAATAAGAATAATTATAAAATTTTATGAGAACAGCGCCATCTTTCGGTATTATAGAAAACTATTAAAGAAACCTTTCATACTTTGTTGAGCACAATATGCAAACAAGAATAATAATAAAACGTTTTCCATAATATCTTCATAATATAATTATGTAATAGCCTTGTAAATGTAAGTAAATATGTGTGTAAAAATTTGTTAGGTGTGAAATCGTACATTCTGCATAAACATAATTGTTCATAAATTTTATCCTAGATGTCGCTAGGATCTGCTGATCTTGCAGGTTATTTTTGTACAACAATACCAATCAATACAATACTGACTCAGGCATACAAGATTATAATTACTATACTTAATTAATCTTTGTAGAAACATTTCTTTCCAAGGGCGTTCTTCATATATTACTAGCGAAAAGTGTATCAAGCTTCAAGCAAGGGCTAACACAGGTGCAAATTACTAGAGCACCTAACGTGCCTGTATGCGGTCTAGTTGAAATCAAGTGCTTTGGCTTTAGATTTCTTCAGCATGTATATGGACATCCATATACATGCTGAAGTAGTAGAAGAAGAGTAAGTACCTAAGTACTTACTTTCCTTTGAATATGGATCTCAGTAAGAAGGACCGTCTTAGACTATGCTGGGGCCCTTTAGGCTCATAATAATTCAACAAGCTCACACAAGTTCACATACACATGACACCCACACCTGAAACAATCAGGTCACACAAAGATTTGCTCCATGCGGGAATCGAATTCGCTACACGTTACAGGGCAGCCGGTTGCCGCGCAACGTGTAGCGGGTGTGTGCGTCGTAGAAATTGGGTTCTTGAAAGGGTATGAAAATTCTATTTTGTCTTTGTTAAAACAATACTTAGATAAAACGAATGAAAGTTTAGGAGTGGGGGCTTCTTTTTTCTTTATTTTTTTAAGCGGGAAAATCATCGAATGACTGCTCCCGCCTGGGTGATAGGGAGGGAGTGTCAGACTCTTACTGACTAAAAACCACCCCGTTCCTTATCCTGCACGTCGAGCCGGAGCCCCGGTTACCCGTTAGGTACCCGTATGGCCATGGGCGGCGTGAACAGCGTCGATTGCTTACCATTCATTGATCTATCTGCTCGTTGGCCACCCTGTTACATCAAAAACGTAAATAAGCGAAGGTACCTAATAGAAACAATAATTTTCAGATACTTATTATTCATACAAGCGTGGTGCTGGCCCGGAGGTTTAAGGCTCTAGATAGACGAATCACATTTCAACAGCAATCCAACGGCCAGTTGCAGTTCGGATGCAGTTTGAATGCAGTCGTATTGCGACTGCAATTGAAATAAACTTTAGAGCCTTAAACATCGCGCCCGCTCCTCATGCACGAAGGTTCGTGTGGGGTTGTTCGTATAATTATATCATCATCAACAGCCATTAAATGCCCACTGCTGAGCACAGCCTCTTCTCATTTGGAGCTCCACGCTTACTCATTGCGGGTTGGCGATTTCAAACTTATAATAACAAATCATAAGTCCAGGTCTCCTCACGATGTTTTCCTTCACCGTTTGTCAGTGGTGCCTAAATAATCTGAGAAAGTAGGTACATATAACTCGGAAAAAGTCACATTGGTACTTGCCGATGGTAGGTTTCGAACCCGAACCCTCATGCACGAGAAGCGGGCGTCTTAACCTCTGGGCCACCACGACATATATGTATATTATATACTGTCCAAGATTATTTAGAAACCACCTATATACGGTGAAGGCAAATATCACAAGGAAACTGTCAATCCGCTTTGCAAACGTAGTGAATAATACTCAAACCTTCTTCATGTCCAAAGAGGCTTTTGCTCAGCAGTGGGCATATAGATGAAGATGTGATTCGTATAGGAGACTCGTCTATTCCTTCAATTCGCCTCCATGGAGGACCATAGGCACGGAGGATCCGTGGAGGTGGAATTACTGAACCTACTTTGCCCCCAGATCAAAGCAATAGGTACAAGGTTGAAGATGATGTATGGAACTTTATATAGTTGGATAAAAGATACTCGCTTACGAAAATAACAATAATAAAAAAAAATAATTTCACTCTGAAAAACAGTAAAATTCTTTGAAGCCTCATGTAGTATTTGAAAGGTTTTACAGAGATGTTACATACATTATAACATGTATATCTACTAGCCTAACTAATTCACACCTCTAATTTGAGTACGAACGCATGCACCACGCCAAAAATAAATTAGATTTAATTAAGCAGTTACCTATATTTCGACGGAATAATACATGATATGAATAAATTACCAAGTACCCGTAAATAGTTTCATTAAAACGCATGTAAACTCATTACGGTGCGTCATAATAGTAAACAAACGACGCTGTTAGATAAAGGGTGTAAGCATAATGCTGAAGACGCGTCACTCGCCACTCGTCATCGTCACTCGGTGCGGTTTAGGCGGAGTTCTCAGCCGTCGTGGCTCCACGCGGCTCCAGCCTGCAGCGGTCGCTCGCCCGTCGGCCAGTCGGGACTCACACCGCGCCACTGCAACACGCCTTCCCCCTCCAGCCACAAGCCGCGAGACCGCGACCGTCTCTTATCTCTTATCATTACAAAAATGATACATCAAATTACCTCACTAGTACTCAGATAAAGAACACTTCAGCCGTGATAATAACACTTCCAGTGCGAATTTAATTCGTTTATGACATTTTCTCGTGAAATATTGTATTATTTTGGTGTCTTAATTCAGGAATGAAGTAGACACTTGTATTAAAAGTAGTAGTAACGTAGTGCAGAAGTTTGTGAGTGAAAATGAAGTTAATTTTGGTAGTGGTGTCTGCACTCTTAGTGTTGAGGGGTATCGAGGGTGCTCCCTGCACCAGGGTGCGGAGTGTGGACATAACGAATGGAGTTAAGCACCCCAACTCTTCAGTGATATATGAAGGAGTGGAATATAAAGAGGGAACTTGGTATGAGCTCGAAGAGAATGGGACGACCCTTGTGCTGGGCTGTCCCTGTATTGGACGGATATGCATACACAGATGTTGTAGACAGGGCACTGCATTTTTCAACGGGAGCTGTACTGAAACAAACTCGAGTGCAATAAACCCTTTCAGTCCACCTGTATACAATGGAAAGGTGACGTCGACCGTGGTTGCGCACGAGCAGTTCTTCTACTTGTACTCGCGTCCCTGTGATGACAGCTACGGGGTCGACTCCGGCGCACCGGGCGAGGAGCTTTATATTCAAGAGGTATTGTAACCTATTCATTTTAAACGTAACTTTTAAGTGGTCACTTTTATTGTTTCTGTGTATTCAAAGTTGAATCACTTGTACATAGTAAGAAAATACGAGGAGTTCATCAAAACACTTGTGATTAGGTGTGAGCTCATGTGATATGAAATGATAATGATCGTCATGGCATGGTCGCGATAGTGTTCCTATGTTAACCAAATATAAATGTACAGTTTTTATTATGTTACACATTTATAAATATTATGGTACTTACGTAAAATCCCACCGCTTTTTGTTATAGGGGTAGGTCGAGGTTGAACATTGTAGCTACTATAATCAATTTTCGTTATTACAAGCTTTTTTATACTAATCACTTTGTACACGTGAGGAGACCGTATAACCATGAACCTTGTACAAATTCAGTCTTATAATAAATTCTATTTATGTATAAATTGTCTGATTCATTGATCTGCTAAAATACCTAATTAATGTAAAATTAGTATTTTCAAAATCAAGTGTTAGGTTATTAGTAATAATATTTTATTTTTGTTTTTACTTAGATAAGGTTCATGAGTAATATTTTCTGCGAAAATAAACAATGACATCGCCGCGTTCTGTTATCTAAAAAATACAAAATTAAACGATTTTGACATTTCAATTCTGCTGAAAATAATAAAAGTTAACAAGTACATAGCCTCATTTTGGAGACTCGTTAGCCAAAGAGGGGAAAAAAGTACATAGCCTAAGTATTTTAAGGCTAATCTGCGACGATTCCCATAACGGTCTATGTACCTACTTAAGTAGGTCAATATTAAAAAATCTTAAATGCAAAAGAAATACTACTTTATTAAACGCATTTTTTTTTAAAACGCATTAAGTAAAGCGGCACTTGGGTAAAATCCACAAATTAGGTACGACTTATCACTTCGCCTCCATTATTCCATGGAAAATTAATTATTTATATCTATGTATAGTCTGTGGTTTGCAGAGTGAAGCTGAATGAAACGTCTTATCATACAATACATGATTCATTGCTCCATTTTGATCCTCTGAAGGAAATACTTACAAGTAGGTACTTTATTATGTAGTTTTTTCGCAGTTTTGTTCGCGCAAAAAGGCGAATTCCCCGGTTACCTCTGCTTCAGTAGGAGTTTCAAAAAAAAATCCTCTTTTGATTAGTCCTCAAGTTACATACATGACAAATTTCACGTGTGTGTGTGTATGTGTTGGCTGTCAGTCAGTCCCTCAGTACGAAAGTTTTACACCGAGTACAATTCCAGATTTTCGTTGGTAGGTATACTATACCTAATACTTAGAATTTTATAAATTAGAAACTTAATTAAGTAATAATATTATGCTAGTATGAGACAATCCAACTAAAACCTTTTTGTACAACAATCACAATTGATATTCATCGAAAAATAATAATTTACTTTATTTGTAATTAGAATTTTAAAAAAGTTTTCAAATTACAATTTCAAAAATTCAAAATAAGAACAAAATTTAAAGTCATTAAAATGATACCAAAACTGAGACAACATGGAGGTATAAACACGGTATTTCTTCATTAACGTGAGTAGGTTAATGTTTAATTCACTAGATATACGTAGCTTAACTAAAAGTTAGACTCTTATAAGTAGGTAGATACATTTCATAAGATAAATATACGATTACTTTTCTCCTTGCTTGAAACTTAATAATATTTCTTAAATAAAAAAAAAATAAAAGATAGAAGTAAAATAAAAAAGAAACTGAACTGCCTCGTTGGTCGAGTAGTGGTTATAATTACTGCATGGTTGGCGCTGTTGGGCAACCATATCGGGTCCAATATCTTTGTTTGGTTGTCAAATTTTAAAGCTTGAACTCGTCGAGTACCGGTTTTACAGACACAATTAAAGAACAATAGGTCGCGGTCACCGGTGACCGCTTGGTATTTGACAGTTTAAATTAGTCATCTTGGTGCACAATAAGTACATTAATGAGTTTATCCGTCTAAATAACACCCTTTGCACTTCATTTGATTTACATACGTACGTACCCATTTAATAATATGCGATGCGGCAAAAGGTGGCCGTCTTCCGGATACCCTAGAAGACTTTAGTCAAGTCTAATTAATATTGTATCAAGAAAAATCAAGATACGATGTTAATCAGATATTAGTAATCCAGACACAGCTCTATATCGCCTCATTTAGTTGCCGATCATTTGTAAGCAATCGCCATGATCATTACCGGTAGGCTTCTAAGTCTACCTATTGTTTGCCATACCATAGTAGCTCGTATTATATTATTATGTATCTACTTATTCCTCAAAGGAGAACGCACATTGTGTACTTTTAACACCCAATTTTGCTTACTACCTTTAACGACGCTTTTCCATTACGTTATAACTAATTTTAGTATTACAGATAATTTTTTACTCTTTCATAATTTAAAAGAATAATGATTCTTTACTGAACATGAAGATCACCAGACACCTGATATTTGCCTTGAGTAATAATAAAAAAGTATGTTTGCCTAATCCAAAGATATCTTGTATTTGTTCGATGATAATATTAGGCGCTTTTGACCAAACATGGATATTATGAAATTATTTATCTTAATCTTCTATCTTGAAATCCTGGATTTTGGACTTGTTGTAAAATTAGATGAGCGTAGGCCTTTGCAATTTGCATATACATAATATTGTTGTAGTTGCAATAATTTAGTTTAGATTCCATGCAAAGACGTAGCACTAAGTTACGAGGTTGGATTTTAAGTAGGTGAGAGTCTGACAGTCTCTTACAGTATCTGTTTAAAAAAAATCCCATTAAAGTAGGATTTTGTCCTGTATTACGCCACTTTAGAAAAGTAAGTTTTATGCGGAAAGCAAACCTTGTCGACACGTACCAATCGGTTGTTAAGCCACTGCGAAAAGTATATAGTCAAAAATCTTTGTATTGTTTTTTTTTTCTTCTATGGCAAGTGAGTCTCCACTATTTAGTAGTTGATTATTCTGCCAGCGTCATGTGTTACGGCAGGTGTGGGCATTACAGTTTATGTATTTGAATAAAAAAGGGACAAAACATAGCATTGACATTTAAAGTATTATTATATTAGGCACTCTTTTATAAGACAGCTTATGAGACATAATTATTGGGTACTTGCCAACTAGTCAAATTCAATACTTTTTTTAACTGTCAAAAACGTCAATTTTCTGTGAATTTTTTAGAGAGAGATTGTGTATTGTGGCGTCACTAAATTAAGTAGTTATAAAATCAATGAATGAAAGTTTGATTATTTTTTAATATTTTATTATATTGAACAGTCGAAACAATTTATTTTTGATCATGGCAAGTACCCAGTTTCGCAAAATGTGGGTGTAATACATACACATATGCAAGTATTTGCTTACACAAATCTCTTACTTTTGGGAACGTATTTTATTCATAGCCCTTCTATTTTACTTGCAAGTCCATTGTTCGATACAGATATTGGATACCTTCTTCCCACGGAAAAAACTAAAGTTAAACACGTAACTTTTTTCATTTTATTAGAAGATGTAAGCAAAGGAAGTAGAATGATAAATACCATCTACACCTAGGTACATTTTACATAGTACTACATAGTACATGTTATATGACGAATTTACACATTATTGCTGAAGAATTTGTTTGTTTTGTACGCGCTAATATTCGAAACTACTGGTCCGATTTAAATAATTCTTTTTGTGTTGAACAGTGCGTTTATTAAAAAAAAACTTTTATTAAAAGAGGATATTCACCGAATGACTGCTTCCGCCTGGGTGAGGCGGGAGAGAGACTCCTAACTAAAAACCACCCCGTTCTTACTTCTGTACTACGAGCCGGAGCCCCGGTAACCTTTTACGTTTTCCGCGGCTCCGTATCACTCATATTAATATATATATCCGTATTAAGAAAGACTAAGGCTAAAATATCACGTTGTGACCAATAGCACCGACCAGGGAGAGAAACCGTGCGTATCTAGGTGGTCAAATATATTAAAACCTCAAGCACAAGCGGCTTCGCCCGTGTGTTGGGAAAAAGAAGTACACCACTGCAACGAATTGTTAAGGTTCTAGCTAAGGGTCCCATCTATCACCAGTTTCTTGTGAAATTGAGGTGGTGTGTCTCTGTCACCAGTTTTCTTTAACTCGTCGAGTACCGGTTTTATAGACACAATTAAAGAACAATAGGTCGCGGTCACCGGTGACCGCTTGGTGTTTGACAGTTTAAATAATTTAAATTTTCGCGACATAAAACATAATTTGGTGAAATTGATCTGTAGTGCAGTAGTACCCATAGCACCCACACAAAACCAATGCCACCGGCTAGTGCCTAAAAAGACAAATTAACCCGAAAATTTCTGTATGTAACTAGTATTATCTACCCCGGGCGAATCTAAGGTGTGTTGCTATTTTTATATGTCAATGTGTTTTATAATAATAAAGCGGGCAAGGTTTAGTGGGTAGTGGTAGCGACCTTAATTTATCGTAAACCTGTAATTTACTAGAGATGGGCAACCACCAGCAATTATATTTGTCTGTCTCGCTAGTCTTAATTTACTTTTCTGGATTAATTGAGAAATAGCTTGTCAAGTAACATGTAACTTCAAGTAGTTTAATTTTTTAGTCGATCAACGAGGCAATCGTTATTCATGAGTGTACCTAATTTATTTCAAAATAAATTCAAAAAATGAAAAATAGAACACGCGAACCTAAAATCCGTTGCGTGTTTGACTAATGGCTTCGAATTTAGATAGAAAAAGTCTAAAAACCTTTTTAAATTACTGCGGGTTTTCCTACCCACGCATCCACGCGTATCAGAGGTAAATATTTAGGATCCATGTTATTTCTGGATCATGAAGTATCTTGTTTGTTGTTGTTTTATGGCTTGCCTCATTCAGACAAGAGCCTTAGGATTATGCGACACAAGGAAAGAGTATATAATAGGTGTTTTTCCCGATTTCCCGAAACTTCTCAGTTTTAGTCTGTGATTTAGTTCAACTTTAGTGCGTGAT